GTAGGTACAAATATAGATAGTGGTTTTATTTTTTTTATTTAGTGCTGCTATATGTTGTGTGACCCTTTTAGACTATCATTAATTTTTGATCTTGATTTGCAGAGTTCATACAACCATAGTTTGTTGGTGTGGATGCAGTGTGAAAGTAACTCAATTGAGCCTGTAGGGAGGGAAGACAGAGCATATAATAGCACAGGGCTCTTTGATTTATGTTATGCTGGATAGCATTTCCAATATCTAGCACAGGAGTAGGCAAACTCAGCCCCCCAGATATTTTGGGACTACAACTCCCATCATCCCTAGCTAACAGGACCAGTGGTCAGGGATGGGGAGAGTTGTAGTCCCAAAACATCTGGAGGGCCGAGTTTGCCTATGCCTGATCTAGCACCTATCTTGCTAGTCCCTGTGTCTAGTAGAAGCCAAAAAAATGATTAATAGTTTTTAGCCACCGATGTCAAACCTTAAGATAGAATGGTCACTTTTAAGAGACCAGTGTAATTTATGGCGTTTGGGACTTCTTTTGCAAGTTTTATAGACATTAAACCAATGTTTTTAAAACATCTATTGGATTTTAAGATAAATGAACCAAGGAAAGTTAACAAAATAGTTTTGCAATTGCCCTTGTTCCTGAAAAGCTTCTTGAAATCCCAACTCAGGCAACAACACTTTGTGTGAATGGATCTCCACTCTGCCCAGTTTTATGTACCCCACATTGTTCAGGAGTAGCAAACACACCCCTTTCCATTACTCTGGAAAGACTTTTTGGAAGAAATTAGGGACAAAGGGGCAGTAATCTTTACTTCTATAATTTTCTGTAGTTTTACTTACCTTAAGTGCCAAGACAACTGGTTAAACACAGACTTTTGGCTTAATTTTAAAAATGGATTAAAATACATAGTCTTACCACCATATTCTTTGTAAGGCGAAGCTTACATTGTTTAGGATGTGCTTTGCCATACCAAACAAGTCAAAGGAGGTTGCCTAACTGATCACAGAGGGGACTGTTTTGAATGGAAGCATTTGATAGAAAACTTTCAAAGGGAAATTGCATGCTGTTGACTTAGAATCCTAGGACAGCAGGTTGACATGCATAGCATTGTTATTTGGAGGGCAATTGTGCATGGAATAAATGGACTAAAATAGAGAGGCTGCCATCAACTTTAATCATTATAAATTCTAGTGATTTGAGTCTTTTTAAGATGCACACTGAAGATAAGTGTTTAAAAGTCCTGCTGTCCTGCCTCTTTCCATCCAGTAGCTAGAGATTCAGATGAAAACTTGAATCTACTCTGAGCCTAATGTATGTTAATAACATGTGGGAATTCTATTCAAATTTTAAAAATACATTATTTCAACCATAGATAAATGTTGGAAGGCAGTGTTTGAAATACAAACATTGATTTTTTTCTCCCCCAGTGTGAGATAAAGGTTGCACAACCGAAAGAAGTGTATCAGCAACAACAGTTTGGATCTGGGGGTGGCCGAGGAAGAGGTGGAAGAAGAGGTACGTATTATGCACAGTACGTTAGTATGGACACATTCTAAAACAAAACTCTATACTAAAATGGGATTTTGTGGATGGTTTTCCTTTCTATAGCTCAAAGTCAAAATTGGAGTCCAGGTTATGGCAATTACTGGAACCAGGGTTATGGGAGTCAAGGATACGGCTATCAGGAAGGTTATGATGGCTATGGAGGCTATGATTATTCAGGATATGGGTATTTTGGATATGGACCGGGCTATGATTACAGTAAGTAAAGAGAACTGTATTAGGTATATGCAAGCATAACTTAATAGCAGTTTAATGCATTTGATCTCTTGTTTATAGGTCAAGGCAGTTCAAATTATGGGAAAGCTCCAAGACGTGGTCATCAGAATAACTACAAGCCATATTGATCAAAAAGGTATTCAGGTATGCAGTGGCACGCTGTAATGCAGAAAACAACTGCATAGGTTTTGTACTCAATGCTGTAGATGGACATTACAATTATGTACCAAAATTAACTTTACAATACATTTCTATGGCCTGTTATGTGTATCTGAAGAGCTCCCTGGAAATGTCTTTGTTTAATATTTACAGATAATAGTTGTCTAGACAGTGTGGTGTGTAAATTTCAGCCTTGCTGAAGATTAATGATTTTATTGATAGGTTAAATTGAAACTGATTTTGATGGTCTGCTTAAAGCTGCAGCTCTGCATCTAGGGACTGCCTCTTGGAGTTAACTATGAACTACGTTATTCCAGTTGTACAGAATGAGATGCATTTTAGGGAACCAGTGTCACTTTCCACCTTTTTATTTTGTATTGGTTTTGTGTCATACATTTCCTCTAACGGAAGTGTTAATTTTACTGTACTTTTTGGTACCTTTTTGGAATCTAATGTATTGTAAGGTATTTTACATGTGTTCTGATTCACCATGACATGGATATTGATGCTATCTTAGCTTTTGAATAAAAAAGCATAATCTAGTATCCTGTGCCATTATTCCAGCTATCCTATTGTAGCTCAGGGGAAACGCCTACTAGAATTTCAGTAGAAATGATGGTGGCTGGTGCATAAATTTCAGGGTTCAGATTTGGAACATGTTCTAACCCTAAAATTGATGAGTGATCAGTGAGTTTGGTTAAACAGTTTTGGATTCAAAGTAGTATGTATTGCAAAGCTAAGAAAAAAATGGTAATCAGAATAGGTGTTGAGATGCTTTCAGGCAAATGCATGGACTTATTGGATAACTGCATCTGATTGGCTTGAGTAGGAATTAGGGGAATAGGAATCTACTTGTAAAATTAGACATTTAAACCAGTGTGAGGCTCAAGGCTGTATTTACACACGCAAGAAAATGTTAGACACGTTTGCCACATCAAAGTCTGATTTTGTTGTATATTTGAGCTCACTTGAGCTGCTTTTAGAGATTGGGAAACATGCTTAGTACTATATATACAACCCCGCCCTCCAGCATCTCATGTAGTATGTGCATTCTGTCTGAACCACCCAGTAGGCTTAAGTCGATAAATGACAGACCACACTTAAAACTTGTCAACTTGCCTGGCTTTGTGCTCTTGTGTGCTTTATTAACTATTGTTTAGAATTTAAGCATTTAATGCTAAAAATGCTAAGATAATATTAAAGATGCCTAAAAAGTTGGATTTTCAGTACTACTTTTGTTTCTACTTTCTATCTTATGGCAGCCTTCAATTTTTATTATTTTGGCAAAAATTAGATCAACTAGTATGGCCTGGACTTTGTAGACGGAGAACCTTTTCACATTTTACAGCATGCTAAGCTGCCTCAACTCTCATGGTATTTAAAATATGCTGTATTGAATGCAAAGCAACATAGCGCTGCTGTAGCCTGCTGCTGAATCATAATTAAGGTAATGGGAAGGCTGTGAGAGATTGTGTTTTCCTCTTAATACAAATGCTTCCTCTTTCACCATTGAGCATATTTAGTGTTAACTTTGGTTCTGACATTGGCTTTAAATTTTGGTTAGCATTAGCTATGGTTTAAAAGTATGTTGCCAAATATGATTAAAGATGAGAAGGGAGTGGTTGGTCATGTAACAACTGCACCAATCTGTAAGCTGATTTTATTTTCTAAATTCAGCTCTAAGGAGACCCAAATTAGGCCTAAATATTACAAGTTCATGGTTGCTGAATGTAGCATAGCTCTAGTTACTTGGTGTGGTTTTTTTTACCATTTTCATAGACCCCATAGTTTGCTTGTTAAAGCATGAGTGGTTGCAGTGAACAGAGCCTGAAAGAAAAGACTGATTTAGCCTTTTTATAGCTAAATGTAATCTATTCATTTCTAAACTGTCCCATGCAAAAGCTAAAGGCTCCTATAAGCAAACCCTACTGACCCGAAAGCAGGTTGTCTCAACTATCATGAGGCACTACTCTGGGGTTATCTTCTTCCACTTAACCTCCTGTGTGGTGGGGGCAGTTCTGCTCTCTGCATCATGCAATTATGGATTGTTCCATACTCTTCCATTCACTGAGTCCTTATGGGGCAAAATGATGTCAAATTGTTGGCATCCTGTGATTTTTTTCTCCTATGTTTTCATGTGCAAAGAATGGAAAAGTAGTGCAGATCCATGTGTGGCTTATTGTAGCTTTTGCCTCTTTTGAGAGAGAGGGACATGGTCTTGGCACATCGGGATGTGAACTTGTTGCCATGCATCTGTGCTTTGGCATGTTTACTGCTGTGGTTCTGGTCAGCACCCTTTTATTGTATTAGTGCAGGTTAAACAATAGCAAGTTGAATTTTAAAACACCTTTTAGCGTATTATTTTTAAAGATGGAAATTTGTGTAACTGTGCATCTAAAGAAAATCTAAAAAGCATGCTCAAAATTGTCCTTCCATACCTGTAGCACTAGGAGCCAGCAGTCTGAAGAGATACTATGAAATAAGGTCACTGCTGATAGGGACACAGTAAAATTTTAACCAGCAAATTAGTTCTAAATAATGTAGGTGGGTAGTTCCTAAATCTATGTCATCTAAAAGTAAAACTTTTTTTAAAGAATGAACCGTCATTTTTTATTAGTATAGCCAAATCTGCTATCTGGTTTAATAGTTCTTTAGTACCTCCCTTCAATCCTGAATGAAAAATATAACATGGATTTGATGGTAGGTAAACACTTTCCATGTAAAATTGCTTGTTGGAAACATTTGGAAAAAATATTTTTTTCTCTGAAATGCTCATCCCTAAAAAACTTAGAAAATATTCCCGCATAATTAAAATGTTGGTATGTTTAGGTATAAGCTTTGCTAACTAGCCGTTGCTTACTTTATTGTTAGGAAGGAAGAAAACATGCCCACAAATGACTGGAAGGTGCTAATTTTATAATATAAACAGAAATGAGTGTAAGTTGTGGTTTAGGTTCTGTAACCAATAAAGCAGTTTGTTTTCTGGATAAATCGATTGATTTTTACTCCACTGCATGAAGAGTTGGATTAACAGATAACATCTGTAGAGCTTTGAACTTATGTACTATCAGTATTACAACAAAGACAATAAATTTAATAATTGTAGTTGGGAAAAGGTAGTATTTTTGGTATTGTAGCTTAAGTAAAATATATTAGAAACATGGTAGAATTCAGCACCATGTCTGTAACCTGTAAGAGATGGAATGAAAGAATTAAATATCCACATTTCAAAGCTCAGTGAAAGTTTCCTTAATACTTTGTAATAACATGCTTATTGTAGATTATACATTGCTAGGATATAATTGTGTACATTCATTGTGTATTTAGATTAATGAATTGACTGGATTCCTTTATGGAGTATTTGACTCTTTTTTTTTTATCATCGGATTACCTGAATACTTACCATATGAAGGTAGTGGAAGTGAACTTTCTCTAAGCTTCTCTTTTCTCTAGCTCTGTAGAATATTCAACAGTATTAATTAGATGATGATTCTACATCTACCTGTGGCAAAGACCAATATTACTGGTTTTTCTTCCAGCAATACAATTTTTTTCTCATCCCTGAAGGTGCTAAAGTTGATTCTTTGACGTCTTCTTCCCCCACCCACTGTATTCTGTTCCTCTGTTTGCTCCTGAGCTAGACTCAGAATAGTGTGCCCCTCACTTTTAGTGTCCAATTGTGTTTCTATTGGCAGTTTTTTGTCTTCCTTGCATCAGAATTCAGGTGGAATGGGCAGAACAGAATATAGGCTAAATGTAGCTACATCTCAAAATAGCAACCAAAACAAAGAAAGGGCTTCCACATGGAAAGCGGCATGGCTGACAGTGTTTCAATATGTGCTCATCCCCAATCGCCTTCTCTGAGAAAGGTAGCTGTATGCATGTCAAGAACGTCTTCTGAAAGAAGTCATTACAGTGGGGAAGGTGTTGGGGCCTCAGTGCATATACACATATAGCACAGAATTTATTTCCTTCCATGGGCCTTAAAAATCAATGCCTAGCCCCCCCCCCGCTTGAGTTGCAAAGAATAACACACAATCAACATGTAAAACACACTTTAAATCATTCAGCAATGTAAATCTTGTTCTGTGTAGGTGTAGGATTTGTTTCTCAGCGTACTTGCCTTCCTTACCTGTTAATATTTTATCAAGTTTGTCCGCAACCAGTTTTGCATCTTCTGCATTGAAACAGAGTGGTGGCTTGAACTTAAGCACATTTCTGCCTGGACCATCTGTAGCCAACATAATGAATTCTTCCTTTAATCTAGATTTTTTTAAAAGGAAAAAATGGCTAATTGAAGTACTAATGGTAAAATCTCTTGTCAGCTATTCTGTCACTGCCACAGTATACAGTCTACTAAAAGCACCACTGCAAGCTATCAGTAGCTGCAAAGAGCTTATCAACACTACCAGCAAAGGGGATTTTCTTCCTGCTCCATGAAGTGGACTAGAATTGGGCCCCAGAGCTAGTGGCTTTTTGCACACTGTGAGTTCTATCCAAATAGACTACTTAGAGCAGACCCAAATAAGTCATTACCAGTGTTTTTTTCTGGCGGGTTACACTGGTATACAGTACCATCACTATTTTTTCTAGGAAAATAAATTATGAATAGACGTGTTTGCCAGATATTTGGGTAGGAGGAACTAATCCTGGGTGACAAGGGCAGAGAGGCAAAGCTGAGCATGTCACAGGGCAAGGTTAGAAAATGACTGCACACACTCCCTTCCCTTCTTGCTTGTTGTGGGACCATGCGTTTTCCCTGCTGCAACATTGGGTGGAACTGGGGCACGGCTGTGAGGGAGAGGGGGAGGGAGCTGCTCTGGCAGGATGGGCCAGGCTCAGTTTGTGGGGTGGGGAAGAGAGGGAGCATAATGCGAAGGGGTGGCAGAGACTTGTTTTTGCTGGGTGATCATGCTGCCGCCACCATTGCAAGGGCAACTGCATCCTCTGGATGGCTGGCTTAGCCACAGTGGTACAGGAGGGTGGGTATTGGCAAGCACATTTTTTCTTTTGGTGACTGTTGCTGCTGCACCTTCTTCACTCCACTAGCTGGGAGAACCTGCGTAGGGGGCCCGGCGCACACGACTACGTTCTGCCACAGACCTACAGGTATTGGAGGAACATCAGCCACCGCCATGCCCAGCTGGGCACCTGTTGGAAAACATCAGCATCAAGGGGATGGGGCGGACGGACAGAGAGAAGCAGACACTTGTCTTTGCAAGAATAAATTGTATGTGTCACAACATCCCACCCTCTTTCTGATTAGCATTTGAGGGAGCGGCAGAGATGGATGGATGAAGCGAGGGGGGAAGGAAGTGCCTCCACTTGGCTGTCTCCCGCTGCAAAAGCTTGTTTTTCTTTGCCTTGCTCAGCAGGATTTTTTTTATTATTATGATGCAGTTTTTTATTATGGGCTGCATACAACCATGCTAATAATTTATTACTTCTACCCAGTGCTTTTTTTCCTGGCGGTACTTGCTGTAACAACTTTGTGGTGAGTACTGCCCCTTTTTCTAGAAAAAAGCACTGGTCATTACTATTAATTTCAATGGGCCTACTCAGAGTATGTCAGAACTCAATAAGTCAATTGGGCGGCACCTGACAGTTTTGATTTGTGTCTAGTGAACTCTGCACCAGGCTGATCGCAATAGTTCCCTGCAATGAGCAGGGAGCCTGTCTGCTCCAGAAAGGTTATGAGCTCACAGCAGAGAAACCACAGAATCTCACTGTGAATAACTTAGCAGAGGTAGAGAAGGAAGGAAAGAGGAATCCTGTTTAATAAACTTAAAAAGATGGTTGATTGGCCAGACCCTTACTATTGCCCTCAGTGTATGCTGACCCCCATACTTACTTTCATATATTGTGCTTACAGTCCACCCTTTACCAAATAGTTCCAGGCAGGTTACAAAAATGTCACAGTTAAATGAGCACAGTTTACATTAAAATAATAGGGATCCCCAGCCATTTTCCAAGAACACTTTCTGTTATCGCATGTCTCAAGGAGTACACCAAGGTGGGGGATGTTCTGAATCAGGTGGACAGTCAGCTGATTGACAGCTATATTGTCCCACCTCCCTCATACAGTGCTTCCCAAGTAACTGACATGACTGCTGCTTGGTTGAAAGGGACTTGGGAACTGCTGCACAAAGCACTTTGCAAGCCTTGGGCTCAGCACTTCCCAAGTACCAAGCTCAGGACTGGCAAAGCTGCTTTCTGCATGGATTGGCTGTGATCCAAGTTCCCAACGGGAAACTGTTGCACAGCTGATCCCAGCAGGCCTGAAGTCTTCAACCATGCTAGTATCAGCTAGACCTGCTAGCTAGACCTGCTCCACATCTAATGTCCTTGCAGGCAAACTGGGACTTATGCTGGTGTATCTTTGCTACCCAGAATAACTGGGAGGTGCTACTGACAGGACTGTGATTCAAACTGGGAAGGAAGAAGACACAAGAATCCTTTAGCTTTGATGCAGTTTATGTGAGAGTGAGTTGGTGTGCTTTCCTTTTCTTCCCTCTGCACTCATGCTGTAGGCTGGGTTGGGGAACCTGTGATGCTCCAATTACAACTCTTATCTCTTGTTGATGGGAATCCCAACAACATCCAGAGGATGTTTCCTACCCCTGCTGTATATTCTCTGCCTCTGGTTCTTTGAATAAACACCCACAGATATCTGTGATGGATAGAAGGTAAGTGCAAAGGGAGGAATGGCTTAGAGGCTCCACTTATCTCCACTTGTAATATTCACATGACCAACTCTGAACATACAAGAAATCTGGAAAAAGTGAGGGGACACACAATGAATTAGTGTTGATTAGGGATGAGGAAGCCATATATACCTTGTTATGATGATGGCTGCTTCTTCAGTAGCAGGGGTTCTTTTCTCTTGATCTTGCACCAAATCTACTCCAATGAACAATCCAACACCCCTTTTTAAAAGAAAAAGGATATCAGTAAGAAGGCAACAAGCTGCAATGCATAGATTTTGTAAGTTGGCTTCTCCATTTAATGCTCCATTTTTAAAAATGGCAATTGGCGGTAAGCCAAGTACTTTCTCTTGATAAAGAGGATGAAATAGTTACTAGTTATAGCACATAAAGATTGGATTGTTAAGAAACTGATACCTGACATCGCCAATTAGAGGATGTTTTGCTTTTTGCTGATTGAGTAGTTCCATGAGGAAGCTTCCCACCTGGAGGGCATGGAGTTGAAGCTGTTCCTTCTCAATCACATCCAAGACCGCTATACCTATTGCACAGGACACAGGATTTCCTCCAAACTGAACCCGGGGCCGGGGAAAGAAAATCACAAAGTAGAGATGAGCTTTCTACATTTAGTAGTGGACTAATCTGAACTGAAAGGAATTCTAAAAGCAGCACACTGCATCTGTTTATTTGAAAGTACATTAAACAAAACCGGGACACTGGTGGCGCTGTGGTCTAAACCACAGAGCCTAGGGCTTGCCGATCAGAAGGTCGGCAGTTCGAATCCCCGTGACAGGGTGAGCTGTTGTTCAGTCCCAGCTCCTGCCCACCTAGCAGTTCGAAAGCACAAAGTGCAAGTAGATAAACAGGTACCATAGTAGGGAAAAGGCCTTTCCATGCGCTGCTCTGGTTTGCCAGAAGCGGCTCAGTCATGCTGGCCACATGACTTGGAAGCTGTCTGCGGACAAACGCTGGCTCCCTCGGCCTATAGAGCGAGTTGAGTGCGCAACCCCAGAGCCCGCGACTGGACCTAATGGTCAGGGGTACCTTTATCTTTACATTAAACAAAAATGTCTAATTAAAGATGTCTTTCACAGGTAGTTTGCAGTCACACAGTACGGATTTGGGAAGTTACCGTGTTAAAATACTCTACTCCTGTTGCTGAAAACGCCTCTGCAATTTCCTTTGTCGTTGCTACACAAGAAACAGGATGCCCATTGCCAATTGGTTTTCCCATGGTGATAATATCGGGAATAAAATCCTCTCCTTGAAGTTGAAATGCCCAAAAATGTTTGCCAACCCTTCCAAAGCCAACTTGAATCTCATCAGCAATGAATACACCTCCTGCGCTGTGTATGTGCCTATTAAAAGAGCCAAATCACACATACAGGTATAAAACCCAATAAATTTATAATTAGTTTAGTAGCTGATTCTCATTTTAAAAGTTGCATTTTATTGTGTGCTTCAAAATATTAAATTTCCTTAAAATTAAAAATGCAATAAGCACAATGAACTAAAAATTGTTCAGTGCTGACAAAATTGAACAGCAAGTAAGATAATTCCATTAAAGAGAGTTGCACCCTTCTAAGCCTTATTGTTTTTAGTGTGACACATGGTTATTTCTCCCAATGAAATCAACGGGATTTAAAAGTGCTTAACTTTGGCAGAGTTAACAACAGCACCAAACGTCCTCAGCCAGAAGCTCAAACAAAGCAGTTTAGTTGGGAGTGGGAAAACATATAAGGAAAGTTAAAAAGCAATACTCACTCAGCTGCCTTTTGGAAATAACCAGGTGGTGGAATGATTTGTCCAGCAACACTTGGTAAAGATTCCACAAAAAAGGCAGCAAACTGAAAAGATAAGATGAAGTGAAGCCAGTAGCGGTATGCATGCCACGTTTCAAGCTGAATCAGCATTTTGTGTTCCTAATTCAGAAATTTTCATACAGTACCAGGCTGCCTGCCTGCCTTCCACACACACGAATCTCTGTTCATTGAGCAAATGGCATGTGCACCCAGAAGATAAATTATTGTCTGAAACCTTTTCAGCGCAGTCACTCCTTGAGATGAAATATACACATTACATGTGAAAAATTTTCGGAATACATTCAACTCGGGTTGATATTATATGACGGATGAAAAGTTATATTCCATTTAACTCCTTATTTTACCTTTCTTCCTTTTTGCTGTGCTTGGTCAATTATTTTTTTCACTTCGTTGGCATATGCCGTGGCCGGATCCTTATTGTCTTCTCTGTATAATCCTCGGTATGTGTCAGGAAGAGGAGCCTGTCCAAAGAAAGTGTAATTGCTATTCACAATCACCAGAGCTTAGATGAATTAGAAATTAATGGAAAATGGTCAAAGTACGCTCTCTTTTGCATACCACATGGACCCATTCCTTTTGGCCTTCTAGATTTCTGAATTTATATGGACTTATGTCAATCAGGGATGTCAGATGTCCATGATAAGCACTTTAAATAAAAACAAACAATCAGTAGAACCACACAGTGAAGTCTACATTAATTCACTGGGACTACCAGAGATTTTGCAGCATTTAGACTGCCAAACTGAAGAAGCTGCTGTGCTTAAGCACTTCACATATTCATTCTGTTGCCCCTTTCTGGAGAAAGCAAGCAGCTGCCTGGAAGATAAATTTTCTGTTTCTTCAAGCTCTTGTAATGACAGTATAAATTACGATTTAGTCAAGAAGCACAGTGCCCATTCCATTGGTAGCACAGTGTAATTTCCTGCAAGGTTCTATGTACTGTACCTTGATGTTGACAACATGCAACCTGGGGCCCAGAAAATGGATTTAAGGAACCTGATGTACTTCTGGCTCAGAAACAGAAGCAGGTCTAGGCTTGACAAGTACCTGGATGGTGAGTTGCCTGGGAAGCTCATGTACCTTGCTCTGAGACGCCTTAGAAGAACGGCAGGATTCAAATGTAAAAAATTATGCAAGAGAATAAACCCTAAGACACTCCCAACTTTCTAGTAAAAACATGTCTACATTGGGCATTTTAACTGTCTCTTCAAAAGTTAAATGAAAATTCCCAGGTTTGCTTTATAATTTTACTTTGTTAGAAGAAGAAGAAGAAGAAGAGTTTGGATTTGATATCCCGCCTTTCACTCCCTTTAAGGAGTCTCAAAGCGGCTAACATTCTCCTTTCCCTTCCTCCCCCACAACAAACACTCTGTGAGGTGAGTGGGGCTGAGAGACTTCAAAGAAGCGTGACTAACCCAAGGTCACCCAGCAGCTGCAAGTGGAGGAGCGGAGACGCGAACCCGGTTCCCCAGATTAGGAGACTACCGCTCTTAACCACTACACCACACTGGCTCTCTGGTTAAAAGTATATATACACTTACTGGTCCACCACAAGTACGTCCTCATGTTTTGTATACTGCCGTGCCAATCTCAGAGCAAGATCATTGGCTTCTGACCTACAATGAAAACGTTATGCAGCTTTCTCTTTCTGTAGAATCAGACAAATGGTAACCTCTCCAGCTTTACTGTTTTGTATCTATAGTCTACAGAACTGAGCAACCAGATTTCAAATGTACAAATTGCACAGCAAAATGACAAAATGCACAAAAAAGAAATACACAGCATTATGGTTTTTGACCCACCCGATCTATATGTTTTGCTAATTGTTTCCTTGCAGTTGCATGGTGTGAGGTTTTTCCTCCAAGAAAGGAATGCACAGAAATGTTAATTTTTCTCTAAAGCCGGGAACTATGTGTATTCATCCTAATTTGAGGAACATAAGTTAAAATACAAATAAATTTCAGGTATTTGGCTTAATCAAAGCAGTTTGATTGTCCCAATAAACACAGCCTGTTTTGCAAACAATTTATAAAAAAGATGTATAGTTTTATAGGCTCTAAATACCTATTATTTGTTTCCAACATTGAATTTCTAGTGTGACTAATTTAAAAGTTATTGCTTCAGCTTACATATTCTTACTTAGCAGGATTTCATTCTAAGTTCAGTTGATATTTACTTCCAAGTGAGCGTGCACAGGACTGCAGCCTTAGAAGAAATGCAGCTTGAGATGGTGCTCATGAAGAAGTCCTATTAGCAATGTGTCACAAACTTACCCTGAATTCAAAAAATAGAAAGTGCACAGCTTCTTAGGCAATGTATTAGAGAGTCTTTGTGCATAGTCCACTAAATTGTCATGCAAATACCGAGAGTTTGTATTTAGTGCCAAATTTTGTTGATGTGCTGCTCTGATCACTTCTGAGTGGCAGTGTCCAACTGAAAAATAAGGAAGAGGCAAGATGAGAGAATGCCAAGTGTCCATAAATGCTATTAAGACAAATGTTGGCTCTGACTCCTTTATTTTATATACAGTCCTTAAAAAATCATGCAAAATTTAAAACATAAGAGCCAAAGGCCCATCTAGTTTAGCATCCTGTTCTCACAGTGGCTAATCAAGATGTCTATGGGGAAGCTCGCAAGCAGGACCCGAGAGCATATCTACTCTCCACATTTGTGATTCTAAACTGGTATTCAAAGGCATATTCCCTCTAGCAATGGAGGTCTTTTATCAGGTCAGGGTATAGGTGACTTGGCTTACTGGCTAGCCAAACAATGCCTGTACAAAGGCTGTACAGATAGGCATAATAGTTGCCTTCCTACCACCTCATGCCAGCCTATTCAGGTACCTGATCTGGCACTGCTGGCTATGGAGTTGTAGGGCTGAGGTCTAATGGGCATGCACTGGAGTTATCTGTGAAGGGATCAAACATTTGTCACATGGGGCAAATTTTGATGTCTGTGTATGCGATAGGGAATAGGTTAAGTGCACACACTTAAGCCCCTGATTTTCCAAGCCAGGTTTCACTGGCCAGAATCAGTTTTGTCCAGTTTAAATTGGGCCAGCAGGTTACCATTGCAAGAATGTACACATAAATGTAGTTTAGGCCTGTCAGTGCTTATTAACAAGAATGTGGTTTCACGCTTGCCTTGAGCAACGTTGTTGATACAGTCAAGGTACTTGTTTCCATTTTCATCATACATATACTGTCCCTTTGCACTGATAATCTTCACAGGGTCTTCTGGGAAAAAAAGCTTGCAAGAGGATCTGAATTTTTTTAAAAAAACAAAGTAAAATTGAAATGAGAAGCAAATACTCCCACGTCACTAATTTTATTGCACTTTTTTAGCATGCTCAATGAACTCAGGTTTTAAAATTAACTTTTTAGTTAATTCCCTCCATTCTTGTCACTAATTGAATACTAAAAATTTAGTCTAAACTTTTATCATACTAAACTTCAAGAAATATGAGCAGTAATTTAAAGCCTCCGCACTAATAAAATCTAAGAGGGGTTCTTGCTTAGAGAAGCCTTTGCCAAGTTGGTGCCATTGACATATTCTGAACAAATTTTGACATATTTCCCTTGAGCCCCAGCCTTTATGGCCATGCTGGCTGGAGCTGACAGTCATGATAGTCCAATGGTAGCGGGTTGGCAAAGGCTGACTTAAAGAATAAATTTTACCTTTTACATACCCCTCATATACCATGTTTCAGTTTCTGTGCTCTGCTGAAAGTAGCCTCCTTAGCCCTCTCTAGCACATTCCCAGAAGTTTCTCCTTTTGAAAGGTCTACAATATGTCAGTTGTAGAGAGACCTTTTAGAAGTACGGCAATCCCTTTATTTGTATTTATTGGCAACCAGGATAAGGATTAGGTTGCTTCTTCAGTGGTGGTTCTTTACTGGAGAGCCATAGCATTGTAGAATTGTAGAGTTGTAAAGTACTCAGAGGGTCATCTAACCCAACCTGCAATGCAGGAATCAATTAAAATATCCATGACAGATGGCCAACCAATCTCTGCTTAAAAGCCCCCAAGGCAGGGGAATCCACTGCACTAGCTACCAGACTTGCTCTGCCAAGTTAGTGCTAAAGAGTTTAGCCAGAGGTAATAATCAAGTATCATATAACAAACTGAACCTTACAATTTTTCTTCTCTCTTACCTTTTCTTAGGTAATTTTATTTATTTAAAATATTTCCACCCCAACTTTTTGGGCAAAGCCTCATAAGGCGGTTTACACTATAAATGCTCAAAACAAATTAACACAAACATCAGATTATAAAGCAAATATTGGGGTGTCGGCAGTAAGATAAATGCTTGGCAGAAGTATAACGTCTGTAAAGTCCAGTTAAACACCACAAAAGGAGACTCATGGGAAGTAATTCCACAGATGTGGTGCCACTAAAGGTCCTGTCCCCTGGTACCCAACAACCTTAGTGGCAGCGGTGCCCAAACTTGTTTCAAAGAGGGCCAGATTTGATGAAGTGAACATGTGTGAGGGCCGACTGAAGTTGTTTTTTACAATTTTACCCCAAAGTTGTTGAATCTTTTTTTGGGATTGAAGTTGCTGCGCTTTTTTAAAGGATTTTACCCCAGGACATATACTGCCACGGGGGCCAGATTAAATTGACCACCGGGCCGGATTAAACCCCTGAAATGGACTTTGGACATACCTGGTGGCAGGTCACAGCATTAGGCCTTCAAAGCTGATGTTAGGGCCTAGGCACTTTAATGTGTGTAGGAAGATATTCAAATGATCTGTTAGCAAAACAACCACCTCAGGCTGACACTATGCCCCCAACATCACCTGGACAGGCCTCTCTAGAAAGGGTTCAGATCCCCACTTGGCCATAAAGCTGACTGAGTGACCTTGGTTCTCTATTTAAGCGCCTAACATACCTCACAGGGTTATTGTGAAGATAATGGGGGAGGGGGAGAGAAAGAGAACCACGTATGCGGCCTTGAGCTCCTTGAAAGCAAGGTGGGATATGCATCTAGTAATAAACAAACCAGAAATTTGATTTCAGGGCATGGAACTGATAGGAGATAGCAAGTACTGGGCTAGGTGTGAGGACTTTGTTCTGAAAGACCAATAAAAAGGCCTGACCGGGGGGCGGGGGAAGAGCTTTATATCCTCACATTAGAAATTCAAACACCTGCTGGATCAGAACACATGTACATAACATTTATGTGCCCCTGCGCATTAGAAATCAAAACAGCATTCAGTATACTGAAGCAAGCATCTTACAAAACTGTGGGAGAAGAGCGACTGTATTTTAGTCAAATATCCTAAGCGTTTTGCAGTATTGTTAGGTCGCGTGCCTTTCTGTGGTACTCCGCGAGAATGAGAAATACAAGCTGGTAGCCCACACGAAGCAGCCGGATCCTATGCAAAGGGAAGGGGCGGAGCGGGATTTGCGACGGGAGCGAGCGGGGCATATTGCCGCTCTCTCTAGCGCGCCTGCCACGTAGCAGCTATTAACCGAGCGAGGCAAGCAGGTGAAAGGTATCTGACCCAAACGCGCCAGGAGCCGGAACACGTCCCGGACGCTGAATGTTTCGGATGGGACCGGTTTCCCTGAGGCACCGACGCCGAGTCACGTGAAGGGAGCCGGGCGCGTGGGCAACCTCAAGAGGGGCACACCTGGAAGGAAGCGGGGGGAGGGGATACCCTCTCAGTCTCTGGAAGGACACCCTCCCCTCTCAGCAGAATCACGACCTACCCGATGAGCTGCTTCCGCAAAGCCAGAGTCTCCTGGCGGCTGCGTGGCTCCGCGCTCATGGCTGCCCAGGAATGTGGGAAAAGGAACTGTAGAGATAGGATGAAGATGTCACTTGGGGGCAACCTGGTTTTCCTGGAGGAAGGCTTTCCGGGTTCCTTGTGAGGCTCTTCCCCTGCTCGGGGAGGCGGAAGTGAGAGCTGCCTATAGGAGACAGTGGGGGGAAATAGGGCTGGGCAGCGGTTTCTCCGCCCCGGCAAAGAGAGGAAGCTGAGGCATTTGCCGTTTTTTATTCTCTTGTGTGAAATGTGATCGTTTTGCGCTTCCCCCTCAAGCCAATGCAGCCTGTTATCTAAAAGGCGCAGCTTGGGGGGTGGGTCCATGATAACCGAGAGTTCACCGGCCCGCTCCGTGCACGAACGGAAGCGAGGAATCCGCTCCCGCGTCTGGCCTGAGCAGCCGGGATTCTGCAACGCCCCCTGGTGGGCGCGCGGTGGAACTTCCTCGGCTGGGCTGCAGGCGGCGAAGCCCAAAGAGTAGAGTCTGCGGCTCCCGCGAGGGCAGCGTCAGAAGCCGCTGAAGAGCCTCGCAATGAAGCAGTTCAGTCGGTGGGGTTCCCAACCCGGCGCGATTCAATGGGCGATGCTTTCCCCTCAACAGCATTGGCGTGCCGGGAAGCGCTTCACCCGTTGAATTGTTGTGTCCAAGAAGCAGGTGCCCTTGTCCTTGCAGCGCATCCTCCTCCAGTTAATTTTCCGGCATTTTGGAGCTGGAGTTAACATGGAAGGCTCTTAACATGTTGAGCCGAAAGTTTTTTGTTGCTCATCAAATGTTTATCTGACCTTGTCAAATATATTTTTTGTGCAATGCTTTCCAGTTCATATATATAATGTATGTACTGTATATTTATACAATCCAGTGTAAATCTGTTTTGGATTATGACAGTGAGCCTTACAAACATGTATTTGAAAGAAAGAGTAAGGTGAGACTTAGTAAGAAAATGAATTGGAATAATTCCAGTTTGTTTGTTTTTTGTAATGGGACTATTTTTAAGTAACTGTTTTTAAAACTATTGGTCTGATTAATGGAACGACTTACTTTAATTTCAAAAAATAATGAAGCTAATTTGAATGCAAATGCTTTTGATTGTTTTATAGCTCTGGTTAGGAATGTTGCAGGTATATAATTCACAACATAGTAAAAACAATCTGTACAAGAAGCAGTTTATTCTAAAATGGTTCAAATATCGAGTCTTACTACAAATCAAAGCACAAAACAATGGGAACACCGCCAAACTGTGCAGTGCCTGTTGTAAAATTTACAAAACAGATCAGTACAAGTCTATATTTTTATTCAATAATTCATAATACTGTATTAATGCCTTCATTTTAAAAATAGTTGTTCCCCCATAGTACAACTAAATATAGCAGTTGTTCTGGCTTGTACGTGTTAGAAATTTTACATAAAGTTGTAATCAATGACAACTAAACATGTCGCATAAATATTCCCTTCCAACTTTAAGCTATACCGTACATTTTATTGAAGCTCAGAAGAGTTTTTCAATACAAAGCATGTAAAATACATTCCACAAAATTCTTCATGAAAGAGGCATAATTCGTAAAGCCCTTTTACTTATTAGTTACTGAATGAGATTACTTGCACGAAAAGGAGACTTCTATGTGCAGATTGTAATACCGGACACTACCTTGGTAATTATGAGTCTGTCAACCCCTTCATTTGCACATTCATACAGCTTCCTGAATAAGAGTTTTACTGAATATAAAACACAAGTTGTATTATGTTGATCTTTGCTTAGAATCTCACTTAAAAAGTAGAAGATACGCAGTCCAACTGCTTTTTTGGGGGATTGTCCTATGCTCTCACTTGAAGTCAAGGGCACTTGATTTACTAGGACTCATTCTGATACAGAGTTACTGTAGGTGCTCAGCACACTGTAAAACAGGGGGCAGCAAGTGGAGGCACCTAGGCCAAATCCAGGCCCCTGACAGATATTGCAGTTGTCAATGTAGAGGTGAAAGGGGTATGCAGAAAGTGGCATCTGTGACAACAAAACTTGATAGCCGTGGCTTCCTTCCCCACTCTTAAGTGGCCTGTAGGGAAACTGCTGACCGGGGCTGTAGAAGCAAAATCTTACTGTATATTGAGCAGTGAATTACATTGTTCACTGTAGTTCAGCTTCTGCCAGTGCAATGAGTAGCAGTAATTTGTCTTAAAACTTGAGCAACTTGGGCACCAGTGGGTTTAAACTACTATTACTGCACATTTTTTTTACAGCAAAACATTGAAATAAACAAGAGGCAGAGCCAAACTATATTTATAGTTGCAGCAATATATATTCAAAATGCCAATTTAGAAGTAGGCTGAAAACGTTGACAGTGTTGTTTTTCAGTTCTGTGGCACTACATTCTATTGAGATAAAGACAGCATGATATAGCCGATGTGAAATACTTTCAAGTTCCATCTCTTTAAGTGGAAGAGATTTAAGCTTGTCCATTATACTTAACTCTACCATTTAATTTTGATTAGATTATGCCTACTAATTTCAACTATAATTTCAACTCGGCAGAAATGTGCGCTTCACACCCCACCTAAAATGTAACCATAAAATCAAGGTCAACTACTGAATCTTAGGAATGCTTTCTAATTCAACTGTCTGCTTTGCCAAATGAACACTATATGTGAATGCAGTTTATTCAGCATGCAAAAAAACATTGCTTAGGAGGCAATAGTGAATAAATGTTCAATTATCGTATCCTAATACTGATCAATCACTTTGCTGGATATATCTTTGGAAATCAAACCCACCTTGAAAATGAAAATTAGCCGTTTGAAATCAAATTATGGAAGTGTTTTAGTACCATATAGTGCAAACCTTCACTTTTTTAAGCTATCAAGTTGAAAAATTATAAAATTATCAAAAACTGAAAACAACATGTAGTGAAAATATTGAATGCTGGCTATTCTTTATATTTCCATTCAAAATAAGAGCAATTTAAGGTGTAAAACAAAATTGTCTTTATTTCACATACTAAACAGATTGGTGCTTTTGAAAGCATATTAATGTCCTCTTATATAAAGAAGCCACGTTCGATGTTTTAAAATACTGTGCTGATTAAAAATACCAAATCACTGCTATTCTGATGGCTAGTAGTGAGTTGGTGATCTTAATCAGTATTTACGCACAGTAAATAGAGCATTTCTATTAAAAAGGAATTACTGAATTCCTTTCAGGGCTTTAAAGCTGTTATTTCCCACAATTCCCAATGCTACAAAAGGTGACGCCGATAAGCATTTTAAATGAGTATCTAAAGCAGGAGTTACAGCATCTTTAGCTTTTCAGATGTAGAACTACAACTCCCATCCCCTAGTAAGCACTGCCAATGGCTAGTGATGGTGGGAGCTGTAGTTCAGCAACATCTGGAGAGCCAAAGTTTCCCCAGTCCTGATCTGAAGTATGTCTTTAACTGAACAGAAATGGATCAAATTACTGTATCTTGGTGCTGGTGTGTAGAAATTTAATGCAGAAGCAAAAGCTTCTGATTCTTCCTTGCAGCTGTGCTGGAGGTCAAAGGGAAGAGGGGGAGGGGAATAGCATGGCTTTTGAACCAGGCCAGTACCTGCTGCCACCACCAAAATAAATGATATGTAGACAAAACATGCAGTTCTGAAGCATCCCATACAGGAGTCCCATTGCTAATATATTCAGTGAAAACAAAACAAAAAAATTCCTTCCAGTAGCACCTTAAAGACCAACTAAGTTAGTTCTTGGTATGAGCTTTCGTGTGCATGCACACTTCTTCAGATACACATATTCAGTGAATTCACTCTGACATGCATTCCATGTGGTACAGACTTAGGTTTGAACTATGAAGCTTAGGAGCAGGTCTTGGGCAACTCCCAATCCTTTAACTTACCTCATAACAGGAGTGCCAACTTAGCCCCTTGACCATGGGTGCCATACAATGTGCATGGCCCTGGCACCAAAATTTGTGGGTGCCCAGCCCCTTTATGGGGAATTTTGTGGGTGCTCGGGCACCCAAGGCCCCAGGGAGTTGGCACCTATGCCTCCTAAAGTTATGTGGACTGAATGAGATAATGCTATGTGTTCTTTTAAATTACTTATTATAGATATTTCCAAATCGCTTAGACCTTCTTGGAGGAAGGGAAAGAAAAATATGCAGTTGCTAACAATAGATGATGCGGAGTCCCATTTTATAAGGAGTCTCACTTTGGTGTTGTCTGCAATTGAAGAAATAACTGTTGCTGAAGGTTGCTCTTTCTTTACAAATATGTTATCACTGAACAGTTTGCCAAGGACTCACAAATAAAAACGGGTTTAATGTGCTAACGAACAATGTATCTGTCTCCACTTGTGTGTGCCCACTTCTTGCATAAATATATTTTATTGTGGCACTAATGACTTGTTGTTTTAAAAGAGAGTTCAGAAATGAAAAGCACTTTTAAATATTTCTTCTGGATTTTGTTTTTCCAGTGCTGCCACTGACAGCTGTTAATAAGAGAGAATGATGAAGAGGTAATTTGTCTATTTTCTCAAAAAAAGAATAGTATAGCCAGTATTAAATTTCATAAGCAGTGATCCAGAAGGGCATGGATGCATGTGGCCTTTTTTTGAGTGTTCACTCACAGAAACTTTGCCCCCCTCCCCGCCAAAGCCAGTAAATTACTAACTGAACTTCCAACATTGAAAACAGTGAGGGGATTTGGCACGAAAATGGGAGTTGGGGGGTGGGATTTAAAGCAGCAGGTCCACCTGCATCTGTCTATAATTGTGCATTATTACTATTGTTACACTACCACATACATGCTCCGTGTATGCTCCATGTATTACATCTATAATTGTGCATTATTACTATTGTCACACTACCACATACATGCTCCAGCCTTTTGCTTCCTTTCCTTTTGCTAAGGATGACATTAACAGAATGGCAATTAGATAGATGTACAGTGTACTCAGCAAACACTACAGACTGCAGGGAAATATTTTGCCAGGAGATAAGATTTGGAGGAAATGATATGCTGCAGACAAGGAAGAAGAGAGTTGATTTTGCTGCCCATGGACTTGCCACTGGTTTTTGCCACCTGTAAAAGAGTATTACATGCAGAAAACGAAGCTATGCACACAGCTGTTTGACTTTCAAGGAAGCCTTGAAAGCTAGTCTTTTGTATGGAAGGTTACAGCATTTTAATTGACAATTTAAAGTATCTAATTTCTTTCTTAAGTCAATGTAGTTTATCTTCATTTACACAACAGTCTAATATCATTACCGAGCAAAATGCCATATGGACATCAGAAATCATACAATAAAGCTATCTTATATGTAACCCAAGTAGTTAACAAGTGAAGCAAATGTTAACTTTATAGTCTATTTTTGTGTGTATAGTATGCATCTTCTACCATGTGAAGAATTGTACACTGTTTAAAGCATTAACTGCAGTTTTCCTAGAAGACTTTACAAGTAGTAATAATAGAAATAATATACATTATTGCTAAAGATTCAGAGGATAGCAATCCAGAACCCCTCTTCTACCTTACACTAACGGAGAGCACCATGCCATCCTTACACATGTGAATTCTGATCAGTAACGCGAACCAGCACTTTGGAATAGAATTACACCCCATCTCTGGGAATGAGGGCTTAAACGCTGAATTAGGATGAAGCCAATTAGCACCAAAATAAAATGGGAGAGGGAAATCCAGGCTTCCTAGGTTTTGTTCAAACCGTGAAGTATTATGTCCCTTGGTTCCTATAAACATGAGCTTTCATCATAGTTTTGTGCCTAGTTGATCACTGTCACTGCTTGCTGGTGTTCAAACAAACATGACACTGAGGAAACTCATATAAGGCCTTAGCTAAATGTTCAGAGGCGAAAGGGTTCAAATGCTTCCATGAAGCTGAAATCTCTTTCCATGGGTCAGCATTGCTCAGTCAGTTCTGCAGCTGCTCCCAACTATGCTTGCCAACTCAGAGAACTGCTGTGCTTTTAACAGCCAGAGCCAGGAGCCATTAACTCCACTTCTGCTGCTCTCCCTATTTACCTCAGTACCTTCCAAGCAATATACTTCTACCTAACATGTTCTCTAGCCCTTACTTCTTAGGTAGCATGCCTCCTGGATGCTCCTAGATCCACCCAGCATCAAAACATCATTGCCAGAACCTTTCTATACTCATTGTATGCTTGTGAAAACATTTTAGTTAACATGGCCTTTTAAATAAAAGATTCGAAACCTGGAGCGTGAAGCGTTTCGCCAGTGTGGTGTTCAGCAGAGGAAGCAAACCAGTGGAAGTTAACCTGTATCCTTCCAGATTCTGTTGGACTCCAGCCCCCATCAGCCCTAACCTGAGATGACGGGGTTGCAGTCCAGCAACATCTGAATGGCTCCCCATCCCTAAAGTAAACAAACTGTGTGTATGTGATCCCATTGGCAGCACAACAAGGGGGGTATAGAACATTATATGGTTGCATAAATGGGTGAACAGTTTTGGCTGTGCTGCTTGAAATGAAATTACTTATTGCTACAAATATAGGTTCAAGGTAGGCTATGTGTGGGGCATGCTTAGGTTCTTGAAATTAGTAAGCTATTGTTCAATATACCAATGGTAAATATGCAGGATACTCCACTAGCAGTATTTTCTCCTCTTATTTGTGCTCATACCCACAATCCACTGGGACTAGCTGCATTCCAATCAATTGCTAGAGTTCCATGCTTTTTGTAGCCATTGTGTTTTGATTTGGCCAGAAGTTCTCAGGCACACTAAAGTAATGTGCCTGTTCTCACTTTATGCTTTGCTGTAAGGGGTCACCTTTGTTTGCTGCATAAAATATGGAGATTCTCCTAGACACCTTTACTTTGAAGAACTGAAACTGAAAGAGTTGTTTCCATGACAAAGTAAGTGACCAAACAACCACTGATGCTATTATTGAACTCCTGCGCTTCTGACCATAGGTAGTTTTATTTGGGAGGTGCTTACACACCAATGAAGATACTCCTCCTTGAGTTATGTACTTGGTTCTGCATATGGGAGTGGGGGAGCAAAGTACAAAAACAGCTCCAGTTTATCAGTACTGATACGGCAAGCCCTGCCAATTCAGGGAAGCAAGCACTGGACTTCATACAGGAATCCCTTCCCAGTTTGCAAACATGAGCTGGCACTCATGGACTGTGGCTGTGGAAAGGGTTTTAATCAGCACTGGGGTTATGCTGCAAATCTGTAAAACTGAGATGAATATTGTACTGTTTCCTCTGTGTGTGTGTGTGTTTGTGTGTGATCTGTATGATATGTGAGGCACTACAAGTTTTTCCAATTCCGCAGAAATTACAAAAGTTCCCGAAGAGAATCAACCCGCTTTAAGTCACAGATTGTAGAATGATGAGCAGAGGTTCTCCCGGTGACAAAGTTTTCTACATGTGGAAAAAGCCGCCACAGATGACAGAGGTGATCATAACGACCAAGAACGTAACTCTTTTCTTCAAGGTGGAGGTACAGTATGTAGCAGCATGTGTGGTTACGTTTGTGTTGTATTTCCGGGTTGGAGGTTCCTCCTACATTCATCCGTAAGCCACCGTTCGTCTCATTTCTAAGGCTGCAACTTCTTTTTCTTTTTCATTTTCTCCTCCATTTCTATCTGTGGCTATGTGCAACAGAATTGCAGAGTTGAAAGCCATCGGTTGAGAAGAGGGGAAGTTCCTTCTCCCATGCAATAAGGCACACAAGGCACAGTTTCTCAGTACTGTTATTCCACACGGTAGCGTTAGCAGCAAGTAACAATCATTCCCAATTATTTCAGAGTGTCCAGTTATAAAATAGTTGTTGGTTATGTACGCTTGTCCTATGGGCCTTGGAAACGTTTATATCTTTTAAAATCCATACATGAAAGCATCCAGTATAAAAAGATCAATATATTACTGTTGAAGAGTTATTGGTTTTTTTTGTGACTTCCCCCCTCTTTTTTGTATAAAAATTAGAAAAAGATCAAAATATATCACACTATTATTTACACAGTCCATGCTTGGAGGATCACTGTAAAAGAACACAAACATGTTTAAAAACACACACACACGGGCATAGCATGCATCTCACTCTCATCTACTGTGAGACAGTGTTTGCAACTATTTGGTGACATTGCTGACTTCAATCTATTATTATTATTATTATTATTATTATTATTATTATTATTATTAATCATCATCATCATATATTGCATGGTTTAAACTCACTAAGCGCAATCTTAAATGAGGATGTGGAGGGAGTAAAGTAGACTATCTACTTTTTTCAAAGCTGTACCAGTGTGTATCATCCAAGGTGAAAGGTAGGCAATGTAATTATTCCGTCTAGCAGTGCTGATTCTTTTTCTTTAATTCTCGCCATTTTCTTTAATTTTCGCTATTCGGAAAATTTTTGGAGGGGATAGAGGGTGGGGAGATTAATGGGCCCAATCCCAGGGCCTCTTGCGGGAGTGAATGGGCTTTGGATTCAGTCGACTGAAGGCCACCTCTGCCCTGCCTGTGCTGAGTCCATTCTGTCCCTAAAATGCTCCATTTGGGGGCCTAACACTAGCTACTGCGGGTAGAAATGCCACTTGCAATAGGCCTATGGAAATCTATGCCTGCAATAGATCTATGTCCACATGCTTTCCTCACTGGTAGAAAGACAGCTCCATCCTATCCTGATCTTTTCCAGTCAGTAGGTCTGAGGGATTGCTCTGCCCTTGCTTAATAATGCCTGACATGTGTAATAATCTCTAGGCTGCTTGTGCAATCCTCCTGTTGGTTGGGACAGCTTTCCTCTCTACCACAGCTTGAAACAGAAGCACCACCCAGTTATTTACTGCCCTTCTTTGTATATGTAGCCCTGAAAACAAAACACTACAGGGGAAAGCTGCACAGAGACTCTCAGAAAAGGTTGGTTGGACATAGGAAGAGTTACGATAATGAAGAAAAAAAGGCACTAGGTTGTTTTGTTTTCACCTCTCATATAAGAGCTGAGCTAAAATGGGGGAACTGACTTTTGTACATGGCTTTATGCCCATGGAAAAGTGTCATATAGGTGTGGGGGAGCATGAAGTATTTGCAGAAAGAGTCTCAGCAGCCATGGCAGCAGAGCCGTTTCCCCCTGTTTAGCTATACTGAATGGAAATCCAAAATGGATGCAGCTCTAGTATTAAAACCTGACTCAGAAAAATAACTTAAGAAGAGGGTTATGGTGAGGGCCCACTTTCACCTTCTGCTTCTCATGGAAATTGCTGCCTGCCAGCACAAGTTTACTGCTTTGTGATTGTGGCCTGCATTCAAGGACACTGGTTTGCCACCATCATGGGCAGCTCTGCCCTAGATTTACACTAATCTAAATTTTTTTAAAAAATATATATAGCGTAATGCGGACATGAAAGCAAGATGCAAAGTCAGCATTAAAATGGAAATAAAACCAGATTTATTTGCCAGGCATAGAATCAAAAAGATAGAATCAAGCAGGGATAAGTTGGTATATTTCCTGACCAATTAATTTTAGTTATAATTTCATAAACAAAATGCTGAGTTTCTTTGCTCTAATCCCTCTATGATGGCTATATTAATATGCGGGTATTTAGCAAAGATATCTACATTTGCCTCAGTTCATTTTCTCCCCCTTTCCCCCATTTTCCTTTACAAAATAGCTCTATTATGTATTAGTTCCATGCTATTACTCTTGCTAAGCAACAATCTTAATTCAAGCCAAAGAGAAAATCTAAGGTAGGGTACAATACCTTGTGCCAGCATCCTGGTACCGGTAATCCATCTGGTCCCTGCAAAAAGTAAGTAACAATTTTGTATTCTTGGAAAGCACCAAGTGAATCATAACAGCAACACACACACACACACACACACACACACACACACACACACACTTCATTTATGATGGATCTGCAAGACCTACCATTATCATAAGACCTACCATTATCATAAGGAACAAATCACATTCCATGTATAAATTTCACAAATAAAACAATTACTCAAATTCATAAACAATTGCTTAAAAAATTCATCAGCTCTCTGTATTAAAGCAAATTTAGTTTTTTGATTTTAAGATGTTTTGTTTCATGCAAATATGAGTTTGACGAAGGGAGGAAAGAGCTATACAAGGATAAACTCAATACCAATATAAGTAAAATTATTTCAGGCAATCTCTCAGACAGTACCTCTTAGCTCAACTCTGTGACACAGGAGACTGACTGGTGAATGGCTGTCTTTCAAAATGGGAAGTATGTTGCCAATGGACAAGCAGAGGCATGGACACCTTTCCTACCTATCCTAGGTAAAGCATTCTTTGCATATTATCCATACTGTTTCCAGGTTTAGTTTCTGGCTATCAATTGTAAAATACTTTCCTTGCTTGCAAACCATTTTCTTTCTTGCAACTTGGCCACACAGGTCAATTTATAATGTTAAAAATGCATTATAAAAATGTGACACTAGATGGTGCTGTAGAGCAGAATCTAAAGTCAATGGCAGATACCTTGGGAGCGTCTTCGTCCCCCCACCCCAATAGCATTTTAATGGCATTTTTTATATCTTTATAGATCCAGCAATGCTCTTGAGGGGGGTGGAATAGGCTCATGACATCAGAATAACTCTGGCCTACGGGATTGGCTGATGTGATAATGTATGCAAGCTGGCCATTCATTCAGAAGTCACAAGACAGGGAGAGTGCTTTAGATAACTGAAATGTTAAAATCATTTGTGGTATCAGATACATAAATAGGCATAGCTGTCGATTTCAACCTGTGCACTCTGAAGCTACTCAAACTTATTTGCACAAAGAACGTGTTTCAAACCCCATGACATCCAGGAATATGTGGCTGAATGACACACACATACTAAATGTTTGTGCAAATTCATATCAGTTTAAAAAAGTTTTCCTCCCTCTGCCCTTCCAGGTATTTAACTGCCTGGTCCATGCATACAACTTGCTAAGCTTATAGTAGCCAGAAGTATTGACAGACCTTTGGCTACAAAGCCAGACTCTAGAATTAAAAATATATAAGTATTTAGTTTCACAACGTGGCATGAATCTGGGTGGAATGAACTGGAGCGTGCCCTGGCTTGTGAAATGTCAGTTCTTCCATATGTCAGTACAATTTTGGTCTTTCACAAGTCATACAGACACCTGACAAATTCTGGCCACATTTTCCTATAAAAGAATGGAGGTTCCAGAGGGAAAGGAAGGGAGAAAGAGGAAAAAGACTAAGTTATGCAAGAAAAGGGCTAAATTATGCAGAAAAAGTCATGCAAAAGAAGAAAGAAAGGGGGGGGGGATACTATACCAAAGGGCAGAGCATATCCACACCATCCAGTTCAGGTAAACCTGGCTCCCCTTTAAAAATGAACTGTTAATTGAAAATGGAGAAATACACAGAAAAGTTTATAAGAAAGAAAAAGGAAAGAAGGAACAGAAAAAAGTGAAGAAATAATTCAGAAGCTTACAGAAATGTTAAGCATGGGGGATCTCTGACCTGGAGGGCAAATGTGGTCCTCCAGGCCTCCCTTATCCGGCCTTTTGTACTCTCCCCCCAGGCCACACCCCTCACTGGCCCTGCCCCACACCCTCTTGGGCTGCTTTCCTTGTGTCCTTCAACTGTAAGAATGCCTCTTACTTGCCTGGAGGTAGGGTAGACAGGTGTGTGTAGAACTTCTGACTTTTGCATGGCCAAAATGCAGCCAAATGTAAGATTCGCAGCCTAATATAAGAGTCACATCCATCGCTCCAACAATATTCGTCTGTGGGCACACCCACTGGCATTTGACTCCCGCATGCCTGTCCATTATATTCAAGATATTTAAGGCTGCCCTGCCCCTATTTGTGATGTTTTTTGGTCACTTCTGGGTTTGTACGCGGTTGTGCACATATTGGACACGCCAAAAATGGTCACTGCCTGTATACAGGACTGAAATAAATCAAAACTGGCTTGAAGAACGAACAATCTGTTTGTGCCTATTGTGTGCTTGGTTTCCGTTCTGTCTTCCTACTGTTAAGGCTCAGTGAGCAGTCACATTGTTTTTTCATAGGTTCCTTTCTTTGATTGCTGATTTGCATATGAGGTGCCTTTCCCATTTTGTGTCTACCCTAAAACATGTACGCCAAGAAAGTGACGTTCCAGCATCACGATAAAAAGAAAGGCCAGCGAAATGGAACTATTGGCCTTCTGCCGTTATCCAAGTTCAAAGGCGTCTGCCTCCAGAAACCTTTTTGTGCTTCAGGTGTCAAAAAGCAACGGAGATAATTTAAAGCAAACATATATTCCCAGCAATATCAAACCATACCACTGGACAAGGCTGATCCAATCCAGGCGGCCCTGGCTCTCCCTTTTGCCCTTTTGCTCCTTTTCTACCTGGAAGTCCTCTTTCTCCCTGTGACACAACAGAAAAATCAAAGCTCTTTTATAATCTGAAAGATTGGAGTGAGAGAAATACCACTTGTTAAGTCATGAATTTAGCGTCCACCTGTTTGCATTCTGTTACAGACTTATATAAGTGGCTTATATATTATGTGAAAGCTCAAATATAATACAGAAATTAAGAGAGAAGCACCAGAAAGAAAGAATAACCTGCTGTGTGAATGCAGTCCATGAGTGGTCACTTAAGAACAAACCTTGGTTAGCACTCATGGTTCATTTGGTGAGCAGCAAACTACTAAGCTGCCTGGGTTTGGATGTAGTGCTTAGCCAGACTATGGTTTTGCTCTTGGCAGCATGGCAGCGGAATCAGGAGTAGGAGAAAAGCAAAGTGGGACATCAAGAACAAACCTGGTTACTGTTCATAATGCTTTATACTTTTGCCTTGCATATGGATTCACCTACAAAACCTGGCATATGACCACATACTATTTCTACAAATTTGAACTAGCTTCAATTGAACAAGATATAGTTGGGCTCCCCTGTCCTCAAAGATTAAAGGTGAAATATATGGCCCTGTTCAGATATGCAGTAAATAGATCTCCAGTATTAAAAGAATCTATAATGACAAATCATCTAGTGATATCTAGTACCATTTATGTAGATGAGGGCCAACATTTATTTTAGGGGATGTTGTCAGTGAGTATGGACTTTTTGTGTGTGAACAGATGAATTAGAGGCAGACATTTAGCTCAGTGAATTAGAAGCAATACAGACCTTTTCTCCTCTCTCACTTTTTTCTCCTTTTTCTCCTCTTAGGCCTGGGAAACCCTATAAGAGCAACATGGAAAAAAAGTATGTGTTTAGTGCCAAATGGTTCTGGTAATGAGGAAAAGGAAAAACAAGGTTGTTGTTGTTGTTTTTTAAAAGCAACCACTCTGAATTGAGACAATGAAGCATTTTCAGAAAAAAAGTATGTGCATGTTTTGTACTAATACTGTTTATTTCTTGCACCCCACTCTTCCTCATACAAAGCCCAGAACAGCTTAACACCATTTATAAAGTTCAGCATTAAAAACAAAGCTAGGCCGTGATTCACTACAAAGTACAAAAATAAATAAATCACTTGGGATATTGCTATTAAAACATTTATTCTGATGAAGCACAAGGATGTTGCAGATCTTATACTACTACTCATATGTGGCCCAGGGACACCTCTTTCACCTTGGTATAATCCAAGGCTGGATCTACATTGACCTTCTAAACGTTATTGAACTGAACATTCTATAAGGTTCAGTGACAGTTTCCCTTTGTCAGTGGTTCATTGCTCTGCAGCGTGACAAGCGTAGATCCACCCCAAATCAGGCAATAGGTCCACCTCAGCAGTACTAGCATCTGTTATGATTGCAAGGGACACTTTAGGATTGCTGGTGGAAGTTGCTTCTGACAATGCAACCAGAGACCCTTGGCCAGGAAAGGCGAATCTTAACCCGAGAAGAAAGCATTTGCACTGGTACACAGTCATGACCCCTCCCTCTACTAATCATTTATAACGCATGAAAAATTCTGTTTAATTGCTTCCTGCATTGTTTGCTGACATACTGATAGTATAGATAGTATACTCATTACTTACATCTAATCCTGGTTCCCCTGGCTTTCCCTAGGGTTAAGAGAAAGAAATGGAGACAGTGAACTGGTGAGAGTGGGAAATCATGGGCAGGATTCAACTAGTGGGTCCCGTCAGAGGAAGTCCTGCGCAAGGACTTATGCTTCTCCCCTCCTCACCCTGTACTAACAATTTCAGTGCTGCCCTGAAATTGGCTTGGGGGTGGGGGTGGTTGGAATAACGTCCACAACAGCACACAGAGGAAGGATATCATTCTGTCTGTTAAGCCAAAATGCTTCCCCTGATGGAACAACTGCCTTAGTGCGATGTTGAATTCCCCCCCATGTTAAGTGGGTTACATTTATGTTAAGCAGATACTTAGCTCCCTCCCATTGAAATCCGTAAGTATTAAAAGTGCTTTGCTGACTGGGTTCTGGCCCCTGCGTACAGCATCTGGACAACACACATATTTTTGTTTTAACAGAACTTCTGTAATTTTAGTAACACAAAACAACCAAAGAGGAAATACTATTATTGTGTTGTTTTTCCATTTTCCATTTTTTCCATTTCCACAGACAAATCGTTTAAAAAACAAAACAGAAAACTGCAGGATTTCACCACTGACTCAGATATGATGTCTATAGTTTGGGACAAGACTAACCCATATGCACTTTCTACACTTTTACAGGCAGAATTATCACTGCTACAACTCTCTGGCAACACTGATGGGACGTTCTGAGATAAAGCCACGACAATATTAGAGTTCAGTTTGAAACTGTATTGAAAATCCATGTAGGCCAATACTACAGTGTGCCTCCAAGACGAATAATTATCCTCGAGTTTTGTCGTCTTCGATTTTTCGTCTTGCGAAGCAGGTTCGGAAAGTCTTTTGAAAGCTCAATAAATCCCAAGTCTTTAAACTGCACTGTCCATGTTTAAGAAAAAGAAACACTGCAAGACGTACGTCTGCGAGCAAGCCATAGGAAATCGTCTTGGAGCAGCTCAAACAAAAAACCCTTTCGTCTAGCGAGTTTTTTGTCTTGCGAGGCATTCGTCTTGCGAGGTACCATTGTATTCTTATCAAATTATCTACCATTACAATAATACTTAGAAAACAATTTAAGTTTGCCTGTAAGGAACTTTTATGTAACACAGAAGCTTTCTACTTCATTAAAATTTAGTAGTTTCAAATAAAAAAAATACAGTTATGTGTCATTTCGTATCCCTTTGGAGGACTGTGGTGGATGAATGCGTTAACCCATTTCCCATAACAGATCCATACACGTTCTTACCTTCTCCCCTTTGGTGCCTGGTAAACCGATAAGCCCAGGAGTACCAGCAGGACCCTAGAGAGAAAAGAAAACTACTAGAAAAAGGCTTGGAATATTGCTATCAAAGCATCTCTTCTAATGGAGCACAAGGATGTTGCAGATTTTATAGTACTACTCACATGTGGCCCAGGGACACCTTTTTCACCTTTATGACCACTTTCACCTTTTGCACCCTTTGCACCATCTGAGCCCTGCATAAAAACAAATAAGTTTATTAGGGTTTCAACTAGTTGGTTTTTTAAAAAATCACTTGCTTTATGCCCAATTCATTTTTTTCAATTAAGTTAAAATGAAGTTTATCAAAATTTCACTCAAGGTATCTTTTAAAAATACTAAAGGAAATGCAAGTCAACATACAAATAAAAGCTCCCTATTATAATAATGCACCAGACCAAGAGTACACAGTTCCAGCCTTGGCACCTGTTTACAGAGGAACAAGAGATTGCAGGGTGGGGAGAGATAGTAGAACAATGAAACACTGATCTTGGTAACAGCAGTAGCAGCGGATTTTTGTGAGAAAGGGCAAGTGCAAACATACCCTTTATTTGCTTATATAAAGTTATACAAGCATTTAAAAAAAATAGATTGCATAAGAAAATTTCAAACCAAAGGTATGAGTTATGAACAGTATAATTCCATTCCTGAATTCTTGCTTCTGAAACTCACATAGTCTGAATCAGAAAGGAATTTGACTGGTGGTAGATTGGGCAGTGACTGAAAGATCTCAGCCTATATTGGGTTCTTATATCTATCTGCCTGAAATAAATCTTTTGTACTGGTGGGCTCTAAGTTGGGGTTGGCCCAAGACATTTTGCTTCCTGAGCTGAAGGACAAGATGGCATCCCACCTCCCCATTCCATGTACAGATGCTGACTGGACTTGCAGCTTAATCTTACTTCAGTACTGGCAATGAAATAGGCTAAGGGTGTAGGAAAGGCTGTGTGGCACACCCACCCACCCACCTCTGTCTTCCAACAGAAGGGTAAGGCCAGGGGCCTTGGGTGAAAATAACATGGGAGGCTGACCCTGCTGCCTCCCAGCATCTGCTGACAGAGCTGGCTGTCTCATTCTGCCTAATTGTAGGGCAGGGACTGCTCTAGGATAAGCTTAGTTAGTCTTCAGTGGTCAAAGTGGTTTGTCCTTGTGCTCAGTTCCAGTTCAATTCATAAATGGTGTGCACAATTTTAGTGACCCACCTTGTGTCCTTGAATTCCTTGGGGACCCTGCAAGATATCAATGATGCATATGAGAAAAGAAAATACAAGGGAGATTGGGGGGAAAGTTGATCTGTAATTCAAGCCTTATCCTCAAATCCTCAATGCCTGTGCCATAATATTTATCTTTCAGACATTTTATTTAGATGTAGAGAGAAACAGAAGCCACTCATGCAAATATGCCTGCATAATTCAGGGGATGTGGCTACAGTCTAGAGTAGACAGGCCTAATTGTTTTTCTTTTTCTTTTTTTAGAATGCTGTCATCTTAGTATGTTACTGGCCAACCTACAGCCTGAAAAGAATAAGGCGCAAAGCTAGAACTTTAAATGCAGTTGTTCTACACCAGGTTTTGGTGAACGGTGCACGTCTTTAAGTTATCATTCTAAAAGTATTCTTTAAGATGAAACCATATAGCCCATTGCATTTTTCTTTAGAAATCTACATTATATTTCAGTGTGGAAGGAAGCTGTGAGCATGGAAACTTTCCTTTTAGACAGAAATATCAACTCCTAAAGCCAAGTGAGAAAAACCAGAGGGCAGCCATGTTTGTTCTTCTCTAAAGTGAGGCTGTGTGTTTAATTTTTATATCAAAATAGATTGGTTGGTAAAGGTAGCTCAATCCTGGCCCTGCCATACCCCACTGCTCTGGGGAAAATGGGGATGAGAGGCAAAGTGGTCCATTTTGTTCATCTTTTCTGAATCGTGTCATAAAAAATTACATCCTACCGCTTCCCTTTCTTTAAATATGAACAGGGAAAACAGGTGGAGAGCAAAACTGGTTGCTTCTGTCATGTCCCATTTGTCTTATAAAAATTAACAGTAAATGTATTAAAAATAGTGTCAATAAATGGCAACTCTAAAGGGAGTTTGAACGGCCAGGAGGTGACTGACATGCTGAGGACACAGAATCATTGAAGGTCTAGGAAACAGTGAAGTGAAATGTCTCAGCATGTTTTTGATGTTACCTGTCATTTATTTATTTGTCAACTTTTAGTTTGCCTACCTGTTGAAGTAGGCAATGATGCAGTATTTTGGCCAATATTCAAGAGGATTAACTGATCAATATATCTCCCCTTATTTTTTTTAAAGGTTCATAATTACAATAAATAAAAAATTGTCCAGTAGCACCTTAGAGACCAACTAAGTTTGTTCTGGGTGTAAGCATGCACAGAGTCGGTCTCTAAGATGCTACTGGACAATAATTACAAGAGTAAATGGTATCAAGCATCATTCATGGACTAAGGCAAATGTAAAAGTTATTTGCCTTAACATTAGAAATAACTGAAGGAAGAAAGGGAAGGATAACATTCCCCTCCCCAAGAAATCTGTAGGAATAGGCTCAAGTGTGTATCCTTTGGCAACAATATAATTAAATAACACGAATAAATTGTATTCAGCAAGAAGTAAAATAGCAGAATTTCAAGCAAGGGCACATATTACTATGCCATGATCTCAACAAAGATATTTAATGTAGGTTGGAAAAATCACATGGCATTTAGGTAATAGACTCACCTTATGCCCCTGTATTCCTTGAGGACCCTAAAGAAAGCAATAGTTCATTTGTTAAAGAATCCTAGTAAATCTTTCATTTTGTACACACAGCTATCAGACTTCCTCTCGAGGTAGAATACATTTGTTTGTATCCTCCCCATTATCATGGGTTAAAAAACCCACCCCAATCTAAACAAAATAAAAGTTTGATCTAACTGATCTATGTATGATGAAGTTGTCAGGGATTCTAAAATTGTAGAAAGGAGCCTACCCTGACTTCACCGACCCTGCCAAATATTCATAAATATACTTCCTATGGCAATGTGCATCCTTTTCTGGAAAATGTCTTACCAATCTGTGATCACCAATATGTGTGTCGCTACAAATGTCCACATTCAAACAGTTGTAACAAAGAGAAATAAATTTTAAGACTGAAAATGTTTAACTACATTGTTCACTTTTTATTCAAACTGGATCCCCAAATTCCCCTTCTCCAGATATGTGCTGAAATTACCACACAGCAGTTCTTACAGTCCGCTTACGTACCTCAAGTCAATGCTCTGGTATGGGCTTGCCATCTGCTGGAAGGTTTAGGATCTGATCTAATGGCTAATTATATCAAAGGAAGCGTTTGACTATCTGGATCTCTCCTATATATAGTCAGTGGGATCAACCTTCCTGTCAAACAACTAGAGTCAGCAGTAAAATGCCTGCTGAGCATATTGGGATCCAAGCTTACTGAAGCTTAGCTGTTCTGGGCATGCTCTCAGCACAGCATCTATCCTGCGTGTGGCATTTGGGTCTTTAGCACTACATTCCATCACAAACACTTTACGTCACACAAGGAATCATTTCATAGCTGAATGGAAACCCTTATTATGGGGTTTTGTTTGTTTTTGGCTCCCAACTCTGCCAGGTGTTATTCCATGCTTATCCCACAGAAAAAGTAGATAAAATATTAGAGATAAAATTATCTCATTTGCTAAAGTACTAAGTTGATTTTATTGCAACAACTCAGTGGTTAAGTATTTTAGATTTGTACACTCATCATCAACGGTTGTTGATCTGCACACAAAGCAAACCTCCCTGGATAGGTTAGAGCCACAGAGATTGTAAATTGGTAAATAATCTGAGTATTAAAAGAGAAGACTTACCGTAGGGCCTGGCGGACCTGGTAGACCTGGAACGCCAGGAGGTCCTGGTTCAGCTATGATCTGCACCTATGGATTTTGTTACACAGTGAAGTGATTTGACAGAATACAGACTTGTATGGACATGATAAAAAAACAACACATTTAGAATGAAAAATAATTATTGGTGAATGAAAATGCTCTTAAGAAATATAGAGAACAAAGCAATTAATAAAGACTTTTTTAAAGAACATTAAATAAAAAAAAGTTTTTTTAAAGTCATTTTTTTATTAAAAAAACCATTCTTTTAAAAAAGCTAACGTAACACATAATGAGTGTGTTCCAGGTTATTATGGGTGCAGTATGCACATGCAACCAATACCCACAGGCTGAATAGTGCTCTGTTCTCCCCCAATGCCTTGCTGATGGGTGCGTGCAAAGATGGCCTGGCAGGCCATTCAGGGGAAGACTGAAATTTAATCTCTTGGCCAGTTCTAAGGCTGCTCTTCTGACCTCATTTCTGTATCTTAGGCAAACAATTTAAATTCGAATCAGATGTGATAGTTTTTCACCCTGGAAAGCCTACCATATATATTTGATTTATACACAGGTATTGAGGTACACAGATAGTTCAGGCAGAAAGCAGCAGACATATATAATACTTGTGCTGAAGAAAGTTCCTTGCCTGTAGGGAAATTGTTAGCATGTGAAGCAGTCTTTAGGTCATGATCTTTATTGGTAAGTGATTCTCATTGAAATCAACAGGACTTATTTCCAAATGAATGCATTTTGACTTGGGTTCTGAAAACACTATTAAAAGTAAAGACTGTCACAACACGTATTAATTTTGTTGCAAAAATTCAGGAACCTGTAATGTGGAGTCTCAGTGAAAGAAAAGTCCTGTTTCATATTAAAAAGTGACTATTGTCCTGCCAGTGTGGAATACCTGAAGTGGGGTGACCCAGCGGAGGGGCCTTCTCAGTGGTGGCACCCTCCATATGGAATTTGTCATCTTTGGAGGCGAGCTATGTGCCATCAAATATTCAGTTTCATCATTTGCTTAAGGAGCACCTCTTCACACTATGTGCCCCTCCTGATAGTGTTTGGGCATAGGTCTTTTGGATCTTTTGATTTGATGTACAGCCCACAGGACTTTAATCTTACTGCTGATTTGTACGATGTAACAGATTTAGGAATTTTAAAATATGTTTTCCTATTGGCTCTGTGTTACTTTGTATTTGCATTGTGATCATTTCCTATTGGCGATATAAATATAAATGAAATAGAACAGATAAACAAAACATACGTCACTCTCAGCATGTTTACAACTTACAAGATCCTTCTCACAGGGAGCGCCAGGTTCTCCTTTTGGTCCATCAATGCCCTAAATGGTAAAAAGAAAGAGTCTGGTGTCTGAGGATGTATTTTAAGATATAAAGTTTGTGGAATAAGGAGGGGGTGGGGATTCTCTTTATCTAAACTAACCTACTAAACCTATTAATTTTCAGTGGGAGTTTTTCCTTGCAGGGCTGAACTTTTCTTGGCTCTGATATTGTGTCAGTTACAGGCAAATGGAAGGTGAATTATTTCCCCTATGCCTGGCAATTCCAGCTGAGCTGTACTTAGGAAATACGGTAGTAGGCAGCATGACAGCACTGTAAATGGCTATATACAATGTGCTTGTTGCTCTTCATGTTTCTTGTAGAAAGTCCCATCTATATAAACTACTATCAACCACTTCTTCATAGCGAGATCTCATGCGGATGTCTATGCACCTGCAACCCATGTCTGTGAGGCCAGTCACATGGCTCCTTCCCACCCAATCACAACCCTCACTCCCAGGAAGGACTCAAAACAATTCACCTCCCTAATTTGACTCCAGGATTCAGGTTCATAACACTGCAGAAAAGCAGTTCCCATCCTGCTGGCATATGAATGAAACCTCAAATGATTAAGAGGCAGTGTTATCTAAAGGGTCACCTGTATCTGCCTGAGCTTGCCAAAGCATTGGCTTTGGAGGCAACAGCCATGAGACTGCCAGGTAACGGGGATAAGACTCTCTTCCATGCTTTTGGAACTCCCCACTCCAGGGAGCTAAGTATGGCTTAATCACTGCTAGTCTTTTAAAAAATCTGAAGACAGATTTATTGAAGTCTCTGTGGGTTGAATTGTGCTGCACTTTTTCACGCAACACACAGATAAACCATGGTAATTGCTCCCACAAGAGGCAGTGATGGCCACTAACTCAAATGGCTTTAAAATATGAGTAGAACAACATATGGAGGAAACAGCTATCAACTGCTACTAGCTAGTGTATCTATGCTCTTCCTCCACTGTCAGAGGCAGTGTGAGGTGAAGAGATTCACAAGTGGAATCGAGCTGGACACTCAGAGAACAGGATGCTGGAGTCTGGACTTAGATGGGCCTTTGGCCTGATCGAGCGAGGCTTATGTTTCTCTTTCTTATTTTTATGCTCTTAAGCCCCTGATATATAATATACACAAGTGAAAATTAACTTTTTTCTGGTAATTAGCATCTATAACAACCGTCTAGTCCCGAATTATGTTGAAGACAGACATACCGGTGGACCAGACAAGCCCATTTCTCCTGTCTCTCCTCTCTCTCCCGCTATTCCAGGGTTTCCTTGGTCTCCTTTTAATCCTTTCGGACCCTACAATGTAAAGGAACAGCATGTTTCCCTCCCTCATCACCAGATAGATTCAGAGTTATGAACACACACATTGTGCACATGCCCACCCAAAGTAGTCCTCCATATTCAGTAGTCTGCGAACTCTGAAAAGGGGTTGGCGGACTTGGCGAGGGAAAATCAGGTCAGTATTATACACATATACTGACAGACACTTTCCTTTAACAGGTTTCTATAAGCTAAAATTAATAATTTCCTAATACAGCATGCTAGAAAACATCTGTCAGCCCACAAAACATATGTAAACGGTAGGTGCTGAATGGAAGCACCAGAAAGCTCTTTTATTAAAAGAACCGATACTCACTGCAGACAAGTGGACAACAAAATCACTGACTGTTACTTTGAGATGTAATTGCTCAAGTAACAACCTACACCTATCACCCCAGGCCCCTAACAAATACCGTATTTTTCACGCTATAAGATGCACTTTTTCCCTCCTAAAAAGTAAGGGGAAACGTGTGTGCGTATTATGGAGCGAATGCAGGCTGCGCAGCTATCCCAAAAGCCAGAACAGTGAGAGGGATCTATGTGCAGTGATCCCTCTTGCTGTTCTGGCTTCTGGGATTCAGAATATTTTTTTTCTTGTTTTCCTCCTCCAAAAACTAGGTGGGTCTTATGGTCTGGTGCGTCTTATAGAGCGAAAAATACGGTACCCTTTTCCATTATGAGTGCAGATGCAGCAATAGAAAGAATGCTGGGAACACAGAGGGTGGTATTTTACAAGAGCGTAACCAATGAAATGAATGGACCTAACTCAGCCATGTTCCATAATTTCAATGGGTCTCCTCTAAGTAAACCTTAGTTGAACACCACCCATAAACACAAATGCAGATTTTAAAACTGAAGGATAGAATTTATGGGGAGGGAGATGTTTTGCCAAAAGAAGTCACAGGAACTTTAAAAAGAAAAGAAAAGAAACCTCAGGCTGCTTGTTACCTATCAGATTGCACATCTTGTCCAGATACTCGCTGAGTTAGTGGGATGTGCAAAAACCTGGGGTGCCAAAATAGAACGGAAAGAGGAGACAGGCTGGACACAAATCCTGCTAGTGAACAGATGCTGAGAACTGCAGCAGCTGATGCCACCCTGACTGAGGGCAAAGTGGCCATTCCAGGCTCCAGCCAAAAAAGGGCCTACTGATCTCTTTAAAGTGTGGACCATGACTTTCTCAGGGAGCCTCTGTGAGGAGGCTCTATTTAGGAATCTAACCTTTCCAAGCAGCTTTATGAATTCCTTCAGGGATCTCCCCACCCCTCAGATTATCAGAGAGACGCTACAGCAGGCACTTACACACCCATTTCCCATAGTGTGTGTGTGTGTAATGCACCTTGTATACCAAACAACTGTATCTGTGAAAACAGTATTTAGTAATAGATATCGAAAACAGACATACTGGGAGACCACTCATGCCAACATCTCCTTTCTCTCCTTTTTGTCCTATGAGTCCAGAGCTTCCTTGGTCTCCTTTCGAACCTTTAGGACCCTGTAATTTAAAGGGGGGGGATGTAAGATAATTGGGTTTTAATTAATAGTATTCATTATTTTCCAGTGTTACTCTGTTAGAATATTTCTTATTTTGATTGTGTTAGAGGAACTGCTGACAATCAAACACTGATTAAGAAGTGGAATGGAATTTAATAGATCACGTGGATGTGACCACTTAAAAGCACAGGAAACTTCAATAAAGATTCGGACATGCACACACTCATCCTGCACGCAACAATCTTAAGTATTTATTTTGAATTAGATATAAATTAAATTACTGACTGCAATAATTTGATCATGTATCATGGAGGGGTGCTTAATAAAGACTCGGATGGAAAGATGCAACATAGGATAATGGCACTGCCTTCCCTCTCTGTACTCAGGAATGATTGGAGGGTGGAGCAGAGCTTTAGCTCCAGTTGCTTGAACACTTTATTTGGGAAATGACAATCAGGTGTGAACCTCATAGAGACCAAATCATATCAAAATTAAAACCATTGCAATTAATATATATATATTTACAATTATTGTCTCTGTATTCCTAACACACACACACACACACACAACATGCCATGCAGATTAAAAATTAGTAGGTTGTCAAGGATATGGAATGGTTGGAAGAACTACAGGATGAAGAGTTTGCAATTTGCCTATATTTGCCTCTGAAGACTGCATGCATTCCAACCACTTTAGTAACTCTTAAACATTTAATAGGTAGCTTCAGCCTATTACAGAACTTTAGTCACACAATTGAATACAAATTTATTAATAATGCCCCCCCCACCTTCTCTCCATCAACGCCAGGTGGGCCAGGCAATCCAAGTTCCCCCTGGAACAAAAAAACGGGATAAATCAGAGCAATGACCACATCATGAATCTAACCAATAAAAATCTTTTCCCCCTCCACCAAAGAACTATATATTGCAGTACTCAATATTTTAAAGGTGCATGATTAATGTTACATATTTCAAGGGAAGTGTCAAATTTATTTAAGCTGAGACAAAGCCCTATACAGCTTGTGACCTGGTGACTTTTCAACAAACCTTCCAAATATAGATTAAACTAGGTCAGCCCTAGAGGATCTTCAGCCAGCATGTGGGCTAGCTGATCATTCAATTCATGCCCAATGCCATTGTCAACACTGTTTCATCTGGAACCAATAAAATTGTGGCCTAATTTGAATCCAACACTTGTCTCTTGCTTCCTTTGCCATCTGCACATCCCACCATGGTCTCACTATGCCTGGGCCCACAAACAAGTGATTATAGACACTTGTTAAAGTTCTTTTCCCTTTGCTAGTCTTTGAAACTCTGAACACGTTACCCACCACTCTGACTCCCCCAAAGTTATCCAAGGGGATATGCCACGAACAGAAGATTCACATATAAACCAAGCTCAGTGTTGTCAAGCAGGTACTGAGTACAGTACAGAACAAAATACATTTTATGTAAAAGGGAGTAAAACCCAACCTTTGGTCCTGGAGCTCCTTGGGGGCCTGGGGGCCCTTGGGGACCTGGCGGGCCCTGGAACAAAAGACAGCAAATTATCTGTTAACTGCTGTTAATACAAGCATTTTGAATTAACAGAGATGAAAAACAACTGGCAGCAAAATCTATGGTTAGTAGGTTATCTAGTTTCCAACTTAAGTCCATCTTCCATAATGCAGATAATTTCCCCAAGAGGCTAGGAAGGGGATGATCAGAAACAACAGAGAAAGGTGGGGAGTGGCTCCATGACCCCCTGCTGCTTTTTCTGCCTGTCTCCAAAGGAGTCTTCAGAATTCTCAACCATCAGAGCACAGATACAGTTTCCCCTGCAGATGACTAGAGCAACACCTAGCTAGGACAGAGGACAACTCCCATTGGGAGTTCTGCCATCTTAATGTAATGATGATGGGAATAGATGATGGGAAATCCCACTGATTTCAACATGAAATGTGAAGCATGTTTTCAAAATAATGCCTAATGCAATTTTAAAGAAGCAAGCCAGAAACTAGGAAACAAAGCAATTAAACACATTCATTACTTGATTATCACTGTGTCTGACATCATGCTGCCAATGATTCAACCTAAGGGATTATGTCATTATTTTGTTAACAGAAATCAAATGTTTGGTAGAAAATTTCTGAGGACCATGATCAAAAAATCTAAAGCAGAAAAGCCACATGCTAGGCCATTAAAAAAACCCACACAAATCCACACAGGAATCTGGCACATAACAATTTTACCGTCAATCTGAGTTTCCCTGCAGCCTGTTATAAAACAGTTAGAATAGTTTTCAAATGTATTAAGAATTAAATATTTATGCTATTCAAATACTTTTCCAATTGAAAAGACCACCATCTAAACATTTTTTAATTGTTGAGAACATTATTATATAACCCCCCCCCATTTGATCTGAAAGGACAAACTGAAATTCTACCCCAATCAGTCTCCTTGCAGTCATTATGGAAGTTACAACCCACTAAGTAACAAAGAGCTGCTTATTTCATTTGTGAGTCACTCCCACCAGATGTGCCTGAATTTGCCTACAGCTGTTTCTAAAAACAGTTTTGATGGTCACCACACTGAACAGCTTAGCTGCTTTTGAAACAACATAGGCACAAATTATTGCACTAGCCTAGCATGAACTGTATAAAGGATTCCATATTTGACTCTCACTTCCTCCCAGAGCATCCAAACATTGTTGCCTTGTCATAACATTTCTCTTTCAAGGTCCATTGCCCTTGATTGTCCCTTGCTTTTGATGACAGATTTGGTGGTGGAGTTGAGCAAAAAGCTCTGGCAATGTGGACAGTTTACTATGGCTTCTGTGGACCATGCCCAAATTCCTCAAACTGGTTTGTATGTTGGACTTTTGATTCTATTTGAGTATCAATCTTGCCATCATGTCCTTCTTTGTAGGCTTTCCAAAGGTGGGAAACAGGACACTGAGCCAAATCACCCTTTGGTCTAATGTATCAGGGCTCTTCTTATGTTACTAAAATTTAGTGCCACTTCATGTTGAAGCAAATTGTATAATTATCACATTATTATCATAAAGGTTACCTTGAGAGCTTCCAAGATTCTGCCATCGTAGTCAATTACTACTGTATCACCCTGTTCTCCTTTCAGGCCTGGAGGACCCTACAAAGAAAAGAAAAGGTAATTGTAAACTTTATGGGAATAGAAATAATTTTCTGCTTTTCACATACTATTAAGAAGTCACAGTAAATTCTAGTTTCATACTTAAATACGGTGCTTTAATTGCTACAGTCTAGATAATAACTGTTCACTGGATGAAAGTGGAATAAACCACCTATGCTGTGACAGTCCCATTAAGGCCCATTGGGTACTGGAGGTCCTGCTCTTAGAGCCATCATTAGTTAAGATAACCTTGGCAGATGCTTTTGCAGTAGTAGCAACACAACTACGGAATTCCTCCACCAGGGAAATCCTCCAAGCACACTCAATGTCATGAGCTATGAAAATATTTTTGTTCCTCTATGCTTTGGCACAACAATCCTATGCTTGTCCACTCAGAAGTAAATAAGAAGTCAGATTCCAAAGGAACTTATTCAAAGGAAAGCAGCTATAGGGCTGCAGCCAAACAGTGCAATTCTCTATCTATGTCTACTCAGTAGTAAATCCCCTTTGAGTTCAATGATGGAACCACCCAGTTAAGTGTGTCTAGGGCTGCAGTCTAAATCTTACTGTCTCTTCACACATCTTGCACCCACCTCCATTTCTGTTGGACCTTTTCTCTTAAGCCCCCAGCCCCCCCCCCCCGGCTCCAGCCTCGCAGGTGGAGCCAAACACCATAAATAACTGCCCCCTCCTCCTGGATCAATCTCTTGCCCTCTTCTCTCTGCAATCAGAGAACTGCCAGTCCCTGACAATGATTCATGACGTAGGTCCTGGTGCAAAATGATTTGAACGCACTTCGATATGGAAGGCAGAGATGTCATAGCACATGGAACCTCCCTTTGAGGTTTTCAATGGCCTATAAAAGTCAAAACTAGTACCCAACCCATTTTATTAAGTCCACACACAAATGTCAAAGACTGAAATTGAAGGAAACCATTTTCTACTCCAGAATATTTATACTGATTGTATTGTTCCCAACGGGGAAAATTCCTAGCTTTTGCATAGTTAATTTATCTTCCACAAATCTCACAGTGTATGTTTGTGATTCGAGGACCCGATCCCCGCTTGGGGAATAAAGACACGTGGACACAGAATGTAAGGTTAATGGGTAAGGTAATTGAGTAAAGACTCGAAGAAAATGTGTGTGCAATGGCAGGGATGGCTGGCGCGGCTGCGTTTGAGCAGCAAGCCACGCCCCCCGAGCTTCCCTATTGGGTGCCCAACCGGGGAGGGGCATGGCACGCCAGCCCTGGAGTTGAAGCAGGGGGCGGAGCGCCCCCTGCATGACGCAGGAATCGTCTCCCACTCACAACCCCTCCCCTCCTGGGAGGAGGAAAGGCTTTCTTTCAGCTTGAGTGTTTATTTTAGCAAGCTAATGAAAGAACAAAAGTAATTCATACCCTTGGCCCAATGTGTCCATCTGCTCCTCTTTCACCAGGTTCACCCTGAAAATAAATGTTTGTTACTCTAAAATATTGATTCAGAGACAAGATACGTCACATATCTATGTGTCTTGAGGAGCACAGCATAAGCAATAGCAGGCTTAAAAGACCTTCACACAATCCAGCTGCAAAACAAATCAGCCAAATCAGATACAAGATAATAAAACCGCCCTGCAGGTTTTAGTGTAACAATATGCACACCACACTGCTGCAAAACCAACTAACTTTTGAACAAGAAATTAGCCTGGCATATAAACTTAAGCATGTCATGATTATACTTTTGCTTTCACATATTGTATTTTGTGCTTGCATTGCTTACACTGTCAAATATTTCTTTTTGTAATCTCTGTGGTTTATGAAAAATTAACATGGCAAATAGCAAAAAGACACTCTAGCACGTCAAATCTTTATAAATTAAGATAGTTGCCACATTTACTGTAGGTATTCTGAAACACTACATTCTTCGGTTTTCCAGCATAAAAAGAGCTATAACCTAATAAAGAGGAAGGTAAGTTTGATGCAGACTTCATGAAATACAGATCAGCTCTAAAGGATTAGCAACTTGTTTAAATGGACGTAGCATAAACAAATGTTTCCTTTTCTCTACTTCAAGACGAAGACTCATGAAAAATTACATAATCAGTTCCAAAATGTTTTATCTTGGAATGCACAAAGAGGCAATTAAAAGAACACTCTTTTCCCATCTTCCTAACTGATCGAACAGAGAAGCATACCAATGAATGTTGCACTGGTTCAAGCCATACATTTTTGCCCCCTCTCTGCTGGCTTGCTCCACTTCCTCCTTCAGTGGGGAAAAGCTAGTAAGTTCAGCTGGGTGGGTGCTTCAGAAAGCAAGAAAGGTATCTCCATTATGGTCATATGTCAGGGGCATCTAGCTCAATGCAGCTGGGCAGTTTACTGTTTTATCATTTCATATCATACCTATCTTCTTTCCTGGAAGACTGAAAAAGTAGGAGGCTTAAATGAGACCTCCTGTTCCTACAGTAATGCAGTTCTGTGTGCATCATGGCAGGTTTTTGAAAATGCAAATTGTAATTGCTTGGTGGGCAGGATAATTACCAGAGGCAATATGGAGAGGGAATTTAATTCTGCTGTGGTCCAGGGAAAACAATCCTCTTCTGTATCTGGTATTTTATTTCAAAGGAGCTCAGTTGGTTAGAGCCTGGGGCTGATAACGCCAAGTTTTCAAGTGTGATCCCCGTATGGGACAGTTGCATATTCCTGCATTGCAGGGGGTTGGACTAGATGCTCCTTAGGGTCCCTTCCAACTCTACCATTCTAGGATTCTATGAATCAAATAGGGATTATCAGAGGCGATTTCCTCAGCCCCTCAGCAGAGGAAGAAAGGATTAGATTCTTTCTCCATATTAGCTCTGACGTTACTAATTATCAACAACGCCCCCCCAAAGCAATTTGCATTTCAAAAAACTTGCAGGTTAAATGCAAATACACTTTTAACTCAAGTCTAGACTAGGCATCCTTCTTAAATGGAGATTATGATTTATTTATATTTCATCTATAGGTCTTCATTTTGCTTTGAGCCTGACATTCAGAATAGATGGGGTCACCATCCCTTTTGGGTTTGTGGGCACAGTTGCAATCTGAAGAAATTTCATTTCCCCCCCCCTCCAAGCCTATTTTTTTGGGATGGGCAGTGGAAGTAAGAGCAGCCCGGCTGCAATCTCCAGAAAGATCCTCCCCACAAAAATCTCTCTATGTTGGACACTTCATTGGTGACCCATGGAACAGAAAATCTTCAGGTAATAAAGAAACCTGCAGCTCATATGATACAATGCCCTAGAAGAGGCTGATTACAGATACAATGTGGTGTAGTGGTTAAGAGCGGTGGACTCGTAATCTGGTGAACCGGGTTCGCTTCCCTGCTCCTCCACATGCAGCTGCTGGGTGACCTTGGGCCAGTCACACTTCTCTGAACTCTCTCAGCCTCACTCACCTCACAGAGTGTTTGTTATGGGGGAGGAAGGGAAAAGGAGATTGTGAGCTGCTTTGAGACTCCTTAGGGTAGTAATAAAGCAGGATATCAAATCCAAACTCCTCTTCTTCTCTTTTATTTATATTTTTTTTGGAAAAGGACTCCCAACTCTTGAAAATATTTCAGTTCTCTATTTTCCTTGGGCTAATGTTATGCTGATCATGCGAAACAAAGATACTTATGCTATTTTACATTCCATCCTGATTTCATGATACAGTATTTCCAAACTAACCTATTTGCTTCTTCCTGTTACCAGAGCAAATAAACATGCCATCTATGAAATAATGTCGTTTGCTGTAGGGACTTATAAAATTTGTACACTCTGTTGTCATTTCCTGTACTGGTAATCAAATTATTGAATTACTATGCATTGAATTAATTAGCAGATTCCTGTTTGCGTGTGTGTGGTTTTTTTTACTCTGCATGCCTTTATTTTAGAATGATTCTACATTTTATTTCATAAAAAATTAATGCAGTATTGTTTTTTAATCTATATTAGCAGAGAAAATGAATGTTCTATCTTAATTTGCCTTAATTTGGCAGTTTTTGTTATAATTTAATAGTGCCTGTCGTGGAGGACAGAGCTCCATAAGTGCAGGATGAAACATTCAAAGAGCCAGGGTTTGAGGTCACTAGGTATGGGAAGTTGGATGTGCAGCACCAGAAGCCCTGCTAGCACACTAGCAATTTCTGATAGCTATCTGCCAATACCAGCCAAAGCTCATTCCATCGCCATCCTCCCATGTGGAAATCCAAGTGCATACAGCTCTTTAAACCACACTAGCTGCCCTGCTTTTCAGCATTTGCCATCACATAGACAAAAGGGCTCAAGCTGTCTCACCAATTCAACATGAAACGGAATTTCATGTGAACCTGGACCTCACCATTTCACAGTAAGCATGCAAATACCCTGCTCTGCACCATTCATGTCTTGTGCGTGTTCCAAAAGTAAAACATACATCGAGAATCATATGGAAAGGAAGAGGCTTGGGAGGGGAAGGAGTTACATAAGAAAAGAAGCAGTTGGGGAGCAGATTAAGCAGGACACTCCCAACACCTCTCTGATCCAAAATGGTCATCTTCCTGAAACAAAAATGACCACCTGTGTTTTGATGCATACATTTGATTACCATGCTTCATTTTGCTCTCCGTTACCAAGCAGGGTTAATACTAGTCTTGGGCTATGATCCAAGGGAAGTCTTCTACATGTGGAATTTTTCAGCTACAAAAGTTTCCTTCAAACGTCTGATAAACTGCTCCTGAATGTTGGAGAGCATGGCAGTGAAACATCCCATTAGATGTGAGGGGATGCTGCTGTAAAGGCAAGTTGCAATTTCATTGTGAATGAAGCATTTTGCATGTTCGTATCCAGACCTTACTATCCTTCCCATTTGATACTTACCTTTGGCCCTGGTAGACCATTTATTCCATTCACTCCTATTGGGCCAACACTTCCTGGTTCTCCCTGTAATGTTTGAAGGAGGTGCAATGGAAAACTCTCAGTTTCTAAGCAGGCCAGGTGCTAGTCTCACTATCCTTTCCAATGTGATACTTACCTTTGGCCCTGGAAGGCCATCTGTGCCTTTCTCTCCCATTGGGCCAACACTTCCTGGTTCTCCCTGTAATGTTTGAGAGAGGTGCAATGGAAAACTCTCAGTTTCTAAGCAGGCCAGGTGCTAGTCTTACTATTTTTCCCCACGCGCCACTTACCTTTGGCCCTGGTAGACCATCTATGCCTTTGTCTCCTGTCGGGCCAGGGCTTCCGGGTTCTCCCTGAAATGTTTGAAAGAGGTGCAATGGAAAACTTCCAGGGCTGGATCCAGATTCTGCTAGCATTCTACTAGCCCAATTTCCTTCCCTCTCCCCCCCCGTGCTCTGCCATTGACTGGAGTGGGTGGGAGAACCCCCAGATCAGTGTGCAGAGGGTAGTAGAGGGGAGATTGTTTTGTTAAGCAAGCAGATATGCTTGCATTGATATGAGTGATGCCTAACCTCACTATCCTTTTCCATATGTTGCTTACCTTTGGCCCTGGTAGCCCATCAATGCACTTGTCTCCTACTGAGCCATTGCCTCCTGGTTCTCCCTGTAATATTTGAAGGAGGTGCAATGGAAAACACAGTTTCTAATCAGGGCATGCGCTAATCTTACTATCATTTCCCATGCGTTGCTTACCTTTGGCCCTGGTAGACCATCTATGCCTTTCTCTCCTATTGGACCAGGGCTTCCTGGTTCACCCTGCAATGTTTGAAAGAGGTGAAATGGAAAAGTCTCAATTTTTAAGCAGGGCAATAAGATCAGTACAAGCAGCTGGACGTCTGGGAGGCTGGGTAAGAAGACTCACCACCACTGCCCTCCTCAGCACTGCCCTCTATTTCTGTCAGCCTCCTCTGGAGGACAGATGAGGAAGCCAGATGTGAACCATCTAGTTAAAAGACCATTCTTCTGCTGTACTGTATTTATTGTCCGTTAACTTTCATTTTGCTCTGTACTTTGGCGTTAGGTCTAGATTATATTTTTGTAATATTGAAGACAGTATATTCTACGTTTGTTGTTGTCTTTACAAAACTGCTTTCTCACCAATCAATGTTTTGCAGTTTAATAGGAAAAGGGAATTTGTTGTAAGCTGCTTTAGGAACAGCTCACTGTGCAAAGGTGCCATATACATAAACTTAAATGAACTAAACAACCTTACAATCTTTCCCGTGCTCTGCTTACCTTCGGCCCTGCTAGACCATCTAAGCCTTTCTCTCCCATTGGGCCAATGCTTCCAGGTTCTCCCTATAATGTTCAAAAGAGATGCAGTGGAAAACACTCACTTGGTAAGCAGGGCATATGCTAATCTTAGCATTCTTCTCCATGCACTGCTTACCTTAGGCCCTGGTAGCCCATCTATGCCTCTCTCTCCCACTGAGCCAGCGCTTCCTCGTTTTCCCTGTGGTGTTTAAGGAAGGGCAATGGAACTCTCAGTTTCTGAGCAGGTATCATCAAGTCTTAGTATATTTTCTGATGTGCTGCTTACCCTTGCTCCTGGTTGCCCTTTTATGCCTTTTTCCCCAGTCTGACCAATGCTTCCTGGATTTCCCTGTAGTGTTTGAAAGAGGTGCAATGGAAGACTTTAAGTTTTCAAGCAGGGCATGTGCTAAATCTTAGCCGTCATTCCCATGCACTGCTTACCTTTGGCCCTGGTAGCCCATCCATGCCTCTCTCCCCTGTTGGGCCAATGCTTCCCCGGTTTCCCTGTCAATTTTGAAAGAGGGAGAATGGAAAAACTTGGTTTCTTAGCAGGCTTTGTGCTTAGGATCTTGTTATCCTTTCCCATGTAATACCCACCTTTGGTCCTGGTAGACCACTCATGCCTCTTTTTCCCACAGGGCCAATGTTTCCTGGTTCTCCCTGTATTATTTGAAAGAGGTGCAATAGGAAACTCTAAGTATCTAAGCATGGATTGTGCTAATCTTAGCATTTTTTCCCATGTACTGCTTACCTTTGCCCCTGGTAGACCATCTATGCCTCTCTCCCCTACTGGGCCAGGACTTCCTGGTTCTCCCTATAGTGTTTTTAAAAAAGGTGCAATGGAAAACTCTGTTTCTTAACAAGACATGTGCTAGTCTTTTATCAACTCCCATGTGTTCCTTACCATTGGCCCTGGTAGACCATCTATGCCTCTCTCCCCTACTGGGCCAGGACTTCCTGGTTCTCCCTGTAGTGTTTAAAAGAAGTGCAATGGAAAACTCTCAGTTGCTGACCAAGGAAAGTGCTAGCCTTTTTATCCTTTCTCATGCACTGCTTACCTTTGACCCTGGTAGACCATCTATGCCTCTCTCCCCTACTGGGCCAGGACTTCCTGGTTCTCCCTGTAGTGTTTTAAAAAGGTGCAATGGAAAACTCTCAGTTGCTCACCAAGGCAAGCACTAGCCTTTTTAATCTTTCCCATGCACTGCTTACCTTTGGCCCTGGTAGACCATCTATTCCTTTGTCTCCCATTGGGCCAACACTTCCTGCGTCTCCCTGTAGTGTTTATAAGAGGTGCAATGGAAAACTCTCAGTTTCTCACCAAAGCAAGCACTAGCTTTTCTTATTCTTTCCCATGCACTGCTTACCTTTGGCCCTGGTAGACCATCTATTCCTTTGTCTCCCATTGGGCCAACACTTCCTGGTTCTCCCTGGAGTGTTTATAAGAGGTGCAATGGAAAAAATTCAGTTTCTGAACAAGACATGTGCTAGTCTTTTATCCATTCCCATGTGTTCCTTACCTTTGGCCCTGGTAGACCATCTATTCCTTTATCTCCCATTGGGCCAACACTTCCTTGTTTTCCCTGTAGCATTCAAAAGTAGTGCAAAGAACACACTCATTTTCTAAGAAGGGTGTTCATCAGTTTTACTGTACCATTCAAGAAGATGCTTACCTTTGGCCCTGGTAGACCATCTATTCCTTTCTCTCCCATTGGGCCAACACTTCCTGGTTCTCCCTGTAATGTTTGAAAGAGGTGCAGTGGAAAACTCTCAGTTTCTAAGCAGGCCAGGTTGCTAGTCTTACTATTCTTTCCCATGCACCACTTACCTTTGGCCCTGGTAGACCATCTTTGCCTTTGTCTCCCTTTGGGCCAGGGCTTCCAGGTTCCCCCTGTAGTGTTTAAAAAAGGTGGAGTGGAAAACTCTTAGTTTTTGAGCAAGGCAAGTGCCAGTCTTTTTATGCTTTCCCATGCGCTGCTTACCTTTGGCCCTGGTTTACCGTCTATGCCTTTGTCTCCCATTGGGCCAATGCTTCCTTGTTTTCCCTGTGGCATTCAAAAGAAGTGCAAAGAACGCTCTCATTTTCTAAGAAGGGTGTTAATCAGTTTTACTGTACCATCCAAGAAGAGGCTTACCTTTGGCCCTGGTAGTCCTTCATTGCCCTTCTCGCCTATGGGCCCAATACTTCCTTGTTCTCCCTGAGATTAATACAAATCAAGGTGAACATTACAATCTTGCTTTCATCCCAAAGTCCAAATATTGAGCATCCTTCAAAAAGAATTCAGGCTCTAAATGACAGGCTTTAAACATGGCACAGCTGTTCTGATGGCTATTCAAGCTATTCTTTAAGGATGGTTGAGCCCCATAGGACCACAGTGAAAGGGAAAAACAATCTTTAATTTCTGATTCAGTTTGCTCTATGTAGTGTAGAATATGACTCTCAATCACCAAATATATTTAGGATTGAAATTTAACACGATCAGCCTGTGTGCCAATACTGCATTGATTCTACTTTGTTACCCATAATGTATATGATTGGGGGCAGGGAGCTACAAAAATGAAGTTTACCTTTGGCCCTTGAATCCCTGGTTCTCCTGGGATTCCAGCATCACCCTGATGAAATAGAACACACATAGGTGACACTGAAATACAAAAGTGCATTAAGTTTCCCAGGGTCAATGCTGGCAGAAGCTCAACAGTTCACACTGTAAGCCTAACCAGAAAAGCAACTGCCAAATATTTTTGATCCAGAAGTTGGGACTTAATTTCTAATACTTAATTTCTAACTGTTCAGGAGAGAGAAAGAGAGAGAGATTTCATTTATTAGCTCAGAGTAGTCTTATTTGCAGTGTGGATAAATCATGAAGACATCGCTCATTATCTGTGGAACACACTGAAATGTAATCCTTAAAAGTGTTTCCTAAAAATACTGTAGCCATAGGTTATGTGCAGTTCTGAACAGCATGCATTAATAATAAAGTGTTTTCCAACTTGGCCACAGCTACTTGGTGGCCCTTCTAAGGTCCATTATATGGAAAAGGATATTTAGTTAACACAATCCAAAATAAATACACACATATCCTGCCCCTGACTCAGCTGCCTTGGAGAAATATATACAGATATTTGTTTCTTAAAAGCCCAGTCCAGATATTAGCAAACCACTCCATTTGGACAGTTTCTAGAGGGGCAGCTGTGATCGCTTCTTGCAGCAAGAATGGCAGAATCTTGTTACACCTTAAAGACTGTGATGGCAGAAGCTTTCATGTACTGGATCAGCTTCAGGGATACAACAGCACAGAGTGAATAATGTTTGATCTATCATAACAATGGATGGGTGAGCCCCATGTGATTAGCCCTGATTACAATGCAATAGTTACACAACTCCCCTATAGTTTGGGATGTTGGTGGATGCTACTGAAATCTCAAGAGCTTTGCTCCTCCCTTGCGCATTCTGCTGCTGCGCTGGGCAAGAAACAAACTACAGCCTGCTCTGGATCAGAGGATTGCTTTGTGCTATTGTATTGCTGGTTATTTTATGTTTTTTTTTGTTTTTAAAAAGGTTATTTTAAATGTGTTTAGTAGTTTTAACTGCCATGTTATTTTGCTTTCAAGTTGGAGATATTTTGTGACTCTGTTGTGATAACTGAGTTGTGAGGTGGAAATAGATAGATAGATAGACAGACAGACAGACAGACAGATAGGGTTGGGAACATGATGTCTGAATGCAGATAGCATTTGAAAGAAAGAAACATAAATAACTTACTTTTCCTCCTGGAATACCAGGCTCACCCTTCAAAACAAATAAATGAAGCACGTTATGTTTGACATACAAATATCAGGAATGAAAACATTTTCTTTTCAATGTCTAGGAAATCTGACAAATAAAATTGTGCCGTTTTCAAAAAACATACGCAGCCAAGCTCATTAAAAATGCTGCTGGGCTGTCAATCTTTTTGGGGTCCAAAGGTCCATTTGCAGTTCAGAGGAAGTGTCATGGGCACCTCTATAAAATGGCTGTTGGGTGTAACCAGTCACAAAACTTAAACAGAAACACAATACCTGAGGCCATCCAACGAAGCTGAATGTTGGAAGATTCAGAAAAAGGAAACACTTTTTCATACAATGCATAGTTAAAACTATATAATTTCTTACCGCAAGCTTTAAAAGGGAATTATTGCGGTAGGGAGAGAGGAAGCCCCACTGCACAAACAGAAGCCCTTGTGCTGACAGGACTCACTAGCTGAATCCCGCCCACTATAATTATTACCCTTTCCTCGCCAGCAGGTCTCAGGGTGGATTTCAGCATTTTTTAATTCAGTGAGAAAAAACAGTCAAAACAAATCACAGTCGCAGGAATAGGGTGGGTCCTCAAAACACGATGGGAATAATTCAGCTTAGAGCTAAGGAGATCGCTCTGGCAGCACGAGCATTTCTGCTCGCCTGCTATAACGATCTCCCTCTCCTCTGCCCACGCGCTGTTCTGGGGGGTTCTTTCAACTTATCCTAGCCTATTAGTGGTGGGGTGGGGGACAGTGGGGGCACACAGTGGGAAGAGAGCTTCTGGCAATATACCACAATTCACCCACATATCTTTAGCAGCCATGTGGAAACATTCCTCTTCTTCCAGGTCTTTGCCTAATTAAGCAACCTATGGCCTTTAAAAATCTCTCTGCGTGGAGGTGTTGTTTTATTTGTTATTATGTTATGTATTTTTGTGTGTTTATACTGTAAACTGTGTTGTGATCCTCGAATGAAGAGTGGTATATAAATTTAATAGATATAAATAAAAATAAATAAAATTTTCACTCATGGCCTGTGATCTTTTACGTCAAGATGCTGTAAATATAGTACCCTTGAAAGGCTTGTGAAAGGGCAGGGGGTCATCCATGCAGTAGCACGTACAGGATGCAGAAGTGGAAATGGGTATTTCTCCTATGACGAAATACACTTGGGAGTTAAGTTTGCTAGCATGGTATCTTATTACAAATGTTCTGACACTTAAAAAGAGGTCGGCAAGTCTTTTGAGAGTCTAGGTTTTGGCACTTGTAGTTCTCATGCCCACAGTCAGTGCATGTAGCAATTAAAAAAATTAGCAATTAAAAATATCGATGTAAAGAAATAACCTAAATAAGTCCTGACAAAAGAGCTTATACGAAATGTTTGTAGGGCAACAAAAGACGGAAGAGAACGAAAAAGTGCTTTGGGAAAGAGGCTCACCTTATTTTTTCTGATGGTGCAGTACAGAAAGCTGACTCGTAAAAACAGGCGAGACTCTGACTGTTTCATAAGCCCTAGACAATTAAGCCTGACAATTGTTCTAAACTCAACGTGGCACAGATGGTAGACACGTATTTAGGGGTAGTGATTAGATGGCCAAAGCATAGTCAAGGAAAGGAGCTGTATAAAACTATTATGGAGCAGAAAGAGGAAGAGGAGGAGGTTACACACATCTGAGGTAGGCTAGGCAAGCGTCTCATGCTTAATATTTGAAATCAATTCATTAGGATATGTTTTAATGCCATAGACTGCATACTAACCATGATACCAGGTTCTCCAGGTTGTCCTTTCTCACCCTAAAGAAACACAAATCTAAGTTATTTAAATAAAGAGACAATGAATGCATTTCTAAAATTACTTTTTCAAAACGCTCCCCTCCCACCTAAAAAGCACAACAGTGAAGAAGAGAAGCTTAAGGAGATTGCATTATTTCAGTTATTTCATTCACTTAGGGAATGTAGAAATGTTGCCATGTCTTGACGATTTAGATTAGTGTTATTAATAAAGTGAAAATACATACAGGTATGCTATGGATCTATTTATTGTGGATTAACATTGAACACATAAACTGTATCTCATCTCAGTTATCTTTGCTTGGTAGATAATGAAGGCTACTGTGGAGATCATTTTTATGACACAACTACCGCTTGCCCTACAGAACAATCCCATGGGCACTGCCAAAAGAGATTGCTGATGCAGCAGCTAGGGAAACTCGAATGTTGATAAACCCCAAAGCCTGCCATATTGCTAGAATCTACAAGCAGAATTGTCAAAATATTAGCTGCTCATTGCAAAATGCAAGATAACCATTCCAAGGCTAGCCGCCATCACAAAGCTTTGTTGACTAGATTATCCTCCCTGTTCAACGCAAACAGTTTGAAGATGAGTTCTGCCTCTGGTTTCAAGATATTGAAGAGTGATTTCCCTTCACTCTTACTCTTTGCTCCAAAAATGCCTGTATCCTCACCCTAGCACCTTGATACATCTGAGTTCTAGGCTCAGGAACCTATAGTTGAAATGCATTCATGAGCAGGATATCCCCGCAAAACATGCATTTTAGTTTTCAACAATTATCTTAGCTAATAACTACGCCTTACAGGAAGGCCTGGGGGTCCCCTTGGGCCATCTTTTCCCGTGTCTCCAGGGGGCCCTCTTGCACCCGGCTGTCCAGGAGGACCTGGCGGACCAGCAGCGCCATCATTACCTTGATCCCCCTATAAGAAGTTTAGACAAAACATCGCAATGTGAAAAAAAAGAAAAGCAAAGTCCTTATGGGTGGACTGTGGCTGCAAACTCACTGCATAGCAAAATGAGAGAAGTGAAGAAAGAAAACAGGACACACGGTCAGGGAATCAGTATGTTTGAGTTTAAAGATAAAATCTTGAGCCTGCAAACTGACTGACCTTTCTATGGTAAGTCAACTTACTGAAAGAGAAGAAATTTATGCCTAAGGTTTCTTGGTGTTTGTTTTATTCTTCCAAACAATTCATCTAATTACAAACATTGGTAATTAGTATTTCTAACTTATCCGTGTCTAATTTGTGTGCCTGCATGTTTCTGCTTGCAGACATTGGACTCCGATACTGACTAGTTTTGAGAAATGATTAGTGAAAGGTCTTTTCTCTTCCAATGAGAAACAGGTAAGGCAACTATGAATGAACCCAAGTTCTTTAAATACCACAGTACTATTGCGAGAAAGTAAGAGAGAAAACTACCACCCGGATTATGCTTGTAAATCAACATTTGCAAAACTAGATTCTTTATCTGAGTATACATATAGTAAAGCAAATCTTTAAAATATCCAAAAATGCTAAACCTCAAAATTAGCATTTTAGGATTAGTTTATTTTTACATGGATAACTTAAGAGTTCTGGCATCTAGAAGATGCCAGAATTACTGTAATTATTACATTTATATCCAGCCTTTCTTTCACAGACATAAATGGAATTGATTTTTCTGTAGGGTTCAAAGGCATTGTCCCATCCAGGTACTGACCAAATCCAGGCTTGCTTAGCTTCAGCAAATTTGTTGCACCATGTGTCTTTAAGGTAAAGGTAAAGGTACCCCTGCCCGTACGGGCCAGTCTTGCCAGACTCTGGGGTTGTGCGCCCATCTCACTTAAGAGGCCGGGGGCCAGCGCTGTCCGGAGACACTTCCGGGTCACGTGGCCAGCGTGACATCGCTGCTCTGGCGAGCCCATGTGTCTTTAGATCATACCTAATTTATTATCTTGGGGGGAAGGAGGAATCTAGTAACTTTCTGAATATTTTTTTTTACAACATTTTAATGCATTCTGTAAAAAACACAAATCATTGATTAAAGGAGAAAGGGTTGGATGTCACAGCAAGAATACACACAGATGTAGAATGCTAGCATACATTGCACACCATGCTCATGGAGCGCGTACATTTACTATCAACATCTAGTGAACACAAGAGAAGACTCAAAACAGATATAATGTTGGTTGTATAATAAGTACATCAATTATGTAATAAGTGCACTAGTAATCTGGTCACAATCTACAGAATTATGCAACTGTGTGACCAGCAGAGCTTATTTCCTGTTTTCAAATAAGAAGACTTTTCTCCTTAAATGACAAGCAGCTTTTTATATGTTAAGCTAGTTTCCAAAAGGACTTGCAACAAAGCATAGCCAGGTATTTCATCTCTGATCATGAATTCTACACTTAACCTTTGTTTCATGTACAGAGCATAAAGACCCTCTTTCTGAGGCAGGCCACACTTATTTGATTTTTACTAAAGCCAAGAGAATGGTTTCTTTCAGAGAGCTTCTGGCTAAAGCAGAGAATTGACACCAGGTCTCCAAGATCTATCATTTAGATGACCATGGCTGCCTATTAACATTACTGTTCCTGGGGTTATGATCTACTGTGGGTAAGTTGGGGTGAAGAGCTCAGCATCTAGAACTGGTCTGCTTGAACATATGGAAGCAGCACTGAAACCCCCCATGATAAGGGTGGATTATAAAGCTCTTTATAACATCTGGGCAGGATGTCTCCAGTGACAGACTTGTACTTAAAGTCATCCTGCTATAAATCAAAAACCTAACAGTGAAAGCCATTCTACATTCCAGTTCAGAAAGCCATGCTACCAAGGTCCAGTTCAGAAAATTCCCTCACCGAGCAACGATCTGAGTACAAGATAAAAACAAATGGAATTTCTCAGTATATTATTATTTATTATCATTTCTTTTATATACCAACATATTTTTATTCACAAAATATGCAGGCATCCTCCAGCTATAATCCTGAAAGTATGTTTCAAAATCAGAGTCAGTCTTCAAATGCTCTGCATCCAATAAAACGGAAAGCATGGTCCTTGACAAATTTGCCGTTTTTAAGCAAATGATTAATTTGTGTACATTTTGTAGGCTGATAATCTTGTGTGCAGGGACATATAACACTTGTGTATTCTGTACTGTGTGTGGAACTCAGTACATATAGTAGTGAACCTAGATAGGTTGCTCTAAACTCAGGTATCTTCAACCTATTTATTCATTTATTTTGTCTGAATTTTTATTGAAAGTTTTCAACACAAAATACAAGGATTACTTTTTTAGATCCAGGACCTACTTTTAACCCAATCTGGCATCTGGGGACCCATTTCTTAATCTTTTACCATATATTTGCATGGTGGTAGTGCTCCTGTTGCAACCCACCAGTTGAAGACCAGTGGTGACTCATCTGATGGAATGACCATCTACAGAAAAACTCCTTGCACATAGAAAACTGGATGTCAGGGAGAAGGGTTCTCGTCTAGCCTCGCCCCGATAGATGCCAGTTTCCCGTTAGAGGGAAACACTAACAGGGACGTGTGTTTTGTCTCGCTCCTGGAGCTATGTAACAGCTCTGGCCCTTTGTGTGTTTATGGCATACTCTGGGAGCCTTGTGTAAAGGCTACCTACCCAAGCGAGATGATCAGGGTTCCCACTTGCACAAGGAGCCTTTAAATGCATAAGGCACCCCGATGCAGATGTCCACTGTAAACAATTCTATGGTCTGAAAGTCAGATGGCTCTGGGGGATGGGCTAAAAGTGTGCATCCCAACTCTGTTCAGTGTTTCCTTTTCAGGCAATAATATGTTAATGCCTGAAGAGGGCTCTGCTGCTTCTGAGAACAGAAACACTGTACAATTTTCTATTAACCTATTCAGGTTTTCAGGGAGACTGACTCAATATTGTAATTGAGAGTATGCAATTCTGGCCAGGGGAAAATTAGATTTAAGAATTTATCTTTGGGAAAGTCTACTAGTCATCATGACATTCAGCATGGCTTTGATTGTGTAGATGACAAAGAATGTTAGATCTGCTTTCATGAAAGCAAATGTGAAATCCTGTCAACACGATGAGGCTGAGTAATTTGCTTATGGTTAATGGGATGACTGCTTTAAACTGTCTCTCATTAGTTGATGTTTACCTGTGAATGTTTCTATTATTATTTTTGGCGCTGTTGCAATGGGGGAAAAACCCCCTCAGATTCTAGTTGTCATGGCAATTGCTCCATTTTGTATATGATGTAAAACTGTAGGGGGGTGGTTGTTAGATTGTAAAAGAACAGAACAGGAGAAGGAAAGAATGGAAATGAAGGAGGCATTATCAGATCATAAATTAGAAAAGTTTTTAAAAAGCAACCTCACAAGAAAACACAGCAAGCTAGAAGATTAAAAGCGATTCTACCTTAAGGATACGTCGGCTAAAAATAGGCTGGTCAGAGAGAAATCCATGACTGAGGCGAGGGAAAGCCATCTAGTCAATGTGTGGCAGGAAAGACAAAGAGGTCAAGACAAATGTTATGATGGTAGAGAAAAACGGTTCAATCAGCATAATATATGAGAGGGAGCCCAGTATGGAACAAACAATTGGTATCACAAGGTGAAATAATAAATGGAACAGCAACAATAGATTTAAGACGCATTGTTCAATAGCTGTATAGGTGGTATCAGAATGTACAGCTTTCCATTAGGTCAGTATCACAGACTTCAGAACTACAAAATAATGGCGGCAGTGGTGGTGGGTGGGGATCTTACTAATACCTCGGCTTCACAGGACATAGTTTAAGATATTTTTCAACATTTCTTTAAAGGGCAAGAACTGCTATCACTTCAGCAACCGTGATTTTATAGGCACGTGTGTTCCTTGGCAACTGATATATAGATATAGATAGATATAGATATAGATATAGATATAGATATAGATATAGATATAGATATAGATATAGATATAGATATAGAGATATAGATATAGATATAGATATAGATATAGATATAGATATAGATATAGATATAGATATAGATATAGATATAGATATAGATATAGATAGATATACCCACTAAGGAAGTATTTAGGTGAATTCCAGCTTTCTAATGCTGGCATACCTTAACCATTTGGGAGTTCATGTTTTCCATTTTGAGTAGAGATGTTTAAATATTCAATTTTCAAACTTTTCTACTCTCATATTAGGATTTTGAAAGTGACCCAAGTGTCTGTTTAACTATATGAAGCTGAAATTCTAAATAAGCTTACTTGAAAGCAAGCCCCATTGAATACAGTGGTACTTATTTCAGAGTAAGCATTCCTAGGATTCTACTACATGATCTTTGTATTTGAGATTTGAGCTAAACTGTAAAACCATTCACAGGGCTGTATGCCAACCTGTCAGCCACAGTAAATCTCATTTCTATCCAAGTATGTTAAGCCCTAAAATAAAGTGTAACTTGAGTTACTGTACATACTTACAAGTGGTTTAAATATAGAAAAGCATGAGCCTGACTGCTTTGCCAGTCAACCCGTTTGGATAAGGCTAATGCCTGACAGCCAAGTAAACTCAATTCATCTGCTTGATGTACTAGAAAGGAGATAATTTCTGTATATGGTTATGGGTGCTTTCTGTAAAGCTCATCTTCCTCATAAAAGAAAGAAAAATCAAATGGGATTTAAAAAAATCTAATTCATATAGTATCATTACATGTATCAAATGTTGTCCCCCCCCTGCCAACAGCATATAAATACCCTGGAGTCAAGCAATTTAGTCCTAAAATGTAATTAAGTTAGACGTGGAATGTGGACCAGATTACAGAACTGGATACCAGAAGCATTGCTCCCCTGTTCGATAAAAGGACGGGGGTGGGGGGAGGGAACTGTCTACTGCCATGGAAGAACTACCAGTGCTTCCATGAGTTTGGTTGCGGGTTGTCTG